CCAAACACTTCAGATATAGTGTGTGTTAGTAAATGCGGGACTATTGATGAACTCCAGCATAACACTGTATGATAACACTTCAGATGACTGTTCTAGAGCCTACAGCTAATCAATCCGTCAGATTCTGGAGTGCATTACAGCTCTAAATATAAATGATAAATGATCTTAAATAAAACAAATACATGTATAAAGATGGTATATAAGTATATAACTTTACTTGCATGGGAAACGGAGGCCATGTGAATGGTTTGTGAGCACAATTAAGTTCACACAGCATGCCATGCCATCTAATAATTGTAGGAAACAAGTCCAAAAGGCAGTTGACTGTAAAGCCACATAAAACAACACAGAAATACGATAAATACGCCGAGTTCAGTGGCTAATCTGCAGGATTCAGCTGAGGTGACGTGATGGCGACCAGCGAGACCTAGCTGTCACTCAAGTGGCCACGCCCTTAATTATGCAAACTTAATATAACTTAATATAAAGGAAACGGATGAGTTATAAAAAAATTCCCCCCCTCACAGTTGTCATGAAGGGTAATATCAGCTGTAATAACCAAAATCGTTTTATGTAGCAGGCTGTAAACACCTTTTTTTCTGCTGTAAAGTTGGCCATTCTAACAGTGGGCTCAATTGAAATTTGCTCTATTTTGGAGCCAGGAGCGGCCAGGACTAGCGGAATTTCAGATGAATTGCAGTTTTAGTTACTTCCGTATTGGCTTCCTGAGGGAGAGCGGGAGGTTGCTGCTTGGTAATAACCAAAGAAATCCATTTAGGCAAAGAAAACAAATCAAATTAGTTTACAAATAAGCTGTGAGGTGACCGCTTTAGAAAGTTATAATGCTTTCTATTTATTTTGAAGTGATATGAAATGAATTAGGAGATTACCCATGGCAAGTTTAACGTAAAATAGTTTGGCATTTTTACCTTTGGCCCACGGCTCTCAATGAAATTTGGTTTATGGCCCTTCATGCTAAAAAGTTTGGTCACCCCTGGTCTAGCCCAACATGGAAATTGTTGTTTATATAATGTGCAAGTTTGTGTTTTTGTGTGACTTACTATGCCTAAGGCAAACTTCAAGAGTCCAAAGGTATTGAAACAGTACAGGAATACATCTGTGTGTCAGCGCAGTCGCAGATGTGATATTGATTTAATGCATCTGTTCAACCAGCAAGAAGCATCTAATGAGTGAGTTACAGGCGATATGGTGGCTCAGTGGTCAGCACTGTCGCCTAACAAAAAGAAGGGCGCTGGTTCAAGTCGCAGCTGGATCAGTTGGCATTTCTATGTGGAGTTTGCATGTTCTCCCCGTGTTGGCGTGGGTTTCCTACTGGTGCTTCTCTTTCCCCAACAGTCCAAACACATGCGCTGTAGGTGAATTGATTAACTAAATTGGCCGTAGTGTATGAGTATGTGTGAATGAGTGTGGGTGTTTCCCAGTACTGGGTTACACCTGGAAGAGCATCCGCTGCGTGAAATATATGCTGGAAAAGTTGGTGGTTCATTCCGCTGTGGCAACCTCTGATAAATAAGGGGCTAAGCCAAGAGAAAATGTATGAATGAATGAGTTACAGTTTATATGAAATAGTCTTTTTTCTGTTTTGTCAATATATATACATATATATATATATTAATTTCAAAGATTGAGCAGAACATCAATCACTAGAGCAAGGGTTTTAGTTAAGAATGAATCTGCTAAATGAATGAATCATTATTGTCAATGATTCAGTGATTCATTCATGAAAAGAGTCATTTGCTTCGTTTCAGAATGAATCAGCAATTTTAAATGAGTTGTTAGGAGCCAAAGCCTTTTTGGATTATCAAAAAAACCTTTTAAAAGGAGTTTGTCCCTGTGTGACATGCTTTATGAGTTCATCTGTACACCTCTAGTGTGTGTGTGTGTGTGTGTGTGTGTGTGTGTGTGTGTGTGTGTGTGTGTGTGTGTGTGTGTGCGCGTGCGTGCGCGTGTGTGCGTGCGTGTGTGTGTGTCTGTTTGATGATAACTAGTCACCAGGATGTTTCCTGAGTGTTTTATTAGTGCTAGAAAAGTGAGTTGCTGCCCTCAGAGGCTTTACTGAGGATTTATTCCCATAGCAACAAGCTCTTATTACCTCAGCCAATCACAATTCAGAATAAACTCTCCCTGTCTCTCTTAAACACACACACACACACACACACACACACATACACACACAGCTGTTTTTATGCTGCTTTTAAAATTCGGTTCTTTGACAAACTAATAATGCATTATTATCATATTTTACTGTATTTTGCTATTGCATGATCATATTAAACAGTAAACACTTTACTCATTAGTTAATATATTCACTTGCACCAGCAAACAGTACATTTATTACAGTATTTATTCAAATTTGTTAACATTAATTAAAGAAAATAAAGTTGATCATGTTAACTTACAGCACATTAACTAACAAGCACAACTTTGAATGTTAACAATGCATTAATAAATGTTGAATTATGATTAATAAATGATGTACAAGCATTGTTTAATCCTTGTTCATGTTAGTAAGTATGTTTACTAATGGAACCAAAAATATATATTTCCAGTAATAAAAATAAACAAAGAAATGAACATGACCAAACATTCATTATTCTTAATATGTAGTTTTTTGTCATTATTTTAGTTTAATTCACTCATTTTTAAAGCTGCAACCCATCTCTGGGAAACATCCATACACAGTCATTTAAACTCATACACTACGGACAGTTTTAGCCCACCCAATTCACCTGTACCGCATGTCTTTGGACTGTGGGGGAAACCGGAGCACCCGGAGGAAACCCAAGCGAACGCAGGGAGAACATATGAATATTATTATTATTATTATTATAAAAACTTCTGATTAATCAATTTCTGCCATTTATACACTGATGCCCACCAACTGTTTAAACCCCTTATAAAAGGAATGTTTGCATAATAGGTCCTCTTTAAGACCAATAGTCCACAATATTTTTAATTGAAAAAAATAATTGCCAATATTTTAAAGTGCTCGTCATAGCAGTATCATGCATATTTATTATCGTAATATGTTAGCATTATTAAATATCGACACTAACAATGCAAATATTTTGCATCTGATATAAATCTCAGTTTGTGTTCGTCTTTTAAAAATAGTCCTACTGTACACAGAGTAAAACTGTGGTGTCTCTATATAGGACACATCAAGCCTAGCCGAGTGCTCATGTCCATATTAATTCCCAAAAATGGATCACTCTTTGCATAATTCTGCTAAATCTTTCACCTCATGTGCTTTTCTGGTTTATGTAATCAAAGGTGTTTCCTCTGCTTAGATTTCATCAGTCACAGGTTACCCTGATCTTCCTTCTGTGACTCAAAAAATGGTTTTCGGTGGATTGAAGTCAGCATTGTTTTTACATGATGTTCGGCAGCCCGAGGCCAGAAACATTACGCCCTTGGAAGGCTGTTCTGTTGCATGCTCTGATAAACTATTTCCGCCAATAATTCCCCATTTTCCAGCAGTGTTAATAGGTCAGAGAACACACCCGTCCAGTGGTTCTGCAGTATGATCTGATACTCACACCAGCTTTGATTCAATGCATTATTTATCAGCGTGATCCTTCTTGAGCCGACAGTTAGTATCACCATTGAGTCAGTCATATAATACACACACACACACACACACACACACACACACACACACACACACACACACACACACAAACACACACAGAGAGGCAGTGAGGAGTGGGATGAGGGCCAGTTCTGTTTGACCAGTGCTAATGACTGTGACTCACAGTACAAATGTCTTACTGAGTGTGTGTGATGCTTTCTGAAAACAGTGGGCCAAATGTCTGAGCGAGTGGCTCACAGGGAACTGACCCAAGCACCAACAGCATCTGAAACACACAGCTCTGAGAGAGTGCTCATTAAGAGTGCTGGGCAGATATCGAGTATTCTTATTCAAATATTTTCTTTTTAAAATGTAGGTTGATTTTTTGTTTGCCCTTTGAATGTTTTATTGGGATGGTGAATTAATGAAGATTTTTTTTATAATAAAAATATATACAATAAATGCAATAGAATTTATTATTATTATTATTTTATGTATACAGTTAAAGTCAGAATTATTAGCCCCCTTTTGATTTTGATTTTGATTTTTAAATATTTCCCAAATGATTTTTAACAGAGCAAGGAAATCTTCACAGTATGTCTGATAATATTTTTTCTTCTGGAGAAAGTCTTATTTGTTTTATTTCGGCTAGAATAAAAGCAGTTATTAATTTTTTAAAAACCATTTTTGGGACAAAATTATTAGCCCCTTTAAGCTATTTTTTTTTTGATAGTCTACAGAACAAACCATCGTTATACAATAACTTGCCTTATTACCCTAACCTGCCTAGTTCACCTAATTAACCTAGTTAAGCCTTTAAATGTCACTTTAAGCTGTATAGAAGTGCCTTATAAAATATCAAGTAAAATATTATTTACTGTCATCATGGAAAAGATAAAATAAATCAGAGTTATTAAAACTATTATGCTTACAAATGTGCTGAAACAATCTTCCCATAACAGAACAGAAATTGGGGGGAAAAAATAAACGGGCTAATAATTCTGACTTCAACTGTACATTTCGCATTCTTTTAATTAATTTCAATTATTATTATTATTATAATACACCAAATATTTGATTTAAATTTTTTTATTAGGTGTAATCATACAAATAATTATGTATAATATATAAATAATTAACAATATTAATAACTATTAATTTATCTATTTACCTGTATTTTTTCTCCTTTTAGTTGTCGTGATATAACTTTATAAATGACATAAAACAATCCAATAATTTTTCAAATGTAAATTATAATTAAAATATAAAAAATTATTCATATTAATCTTCCTTAATCCCATGTATTTTCCTCCTCTCTCTTTGTGACCTCTGTTTTGTGTACATGTTTAAGTCTTAATATCCAGTCTGAAATCCATATCTAATTGTCTCCTCTTTCTCTCTCTCTCAGTCATTCTCATTCACCTGGTTCGATGGAAGCAGTTGTGAGGAATTCTGATTGGTCCTGCGGGCGCTGCACGTTCCTCAACTCCAGCGGCTCTATGCGCTGCTCCATTTGTGAAGCTCCCCGACAGAAGCCGGATCTGAACCACATTCTGCGCCTCAGCAGTGCAGAGGAACCCCGCTGGTCCTGCCCACGCTGCACTCTCACCAACCACCACGGGTTAGGCTCCTGTTCTGTGTGTGGAGCTGCTCCGGTAACACCCAACGGACCCCTCCCACCCAAACAAACCCCGCCCACTCCGATTGACCTCGCCTCTAGCCCTGAACCTAAAGGTCAGGTGGCGAATGGGGAATCCCAGTGCATAGAGTCCAATGGGGAGGTGCCTATGAGTGGGCAGGGCTCCTCAGAGTGGGCGTGTCCTCGTTGTACTTTAGTGAATACTCCAGTTGCGTTGTCGTGTTCAGCGTGTGGTGGTCCGAGGAAACTTTCCTTACCGAAAATCCCTCCGGAGGCTCTAGTGGTACCAGAAGTGCGCACACCTGTGGCAGGGTTTCCTACGCAAACGGCAGGAGCATCTGCACCTCTTCTTATCGATCTAACCGAAGATTCTCCACCGCAGGCACCGTCTGAAACCCCATCTCCACCCCCTGTCCCGTTTCTGCCCCCTTCGTTGTCCTCACTTCAAAATAATCCTGTGCCTCGCAGCCGAAGAGAAGTCCCGCCCCCTGGGCGGCCTCCAAACCCTGGCCCCTCACCAACCTCACCTTCATCCTGCCCACCAACCAAGCCTAAACCCCTCCCACCATCAGGTAATTACCCAGTCAAGCGCCTCAGCGTGCTGGAGGAGGAGGAGCCTAATAACCCCACCCCTCCAGTCACATCTCCGCCTTCCTGGAAGTGCCCCGGATGCTCCGCCCCAACAGCTCCTCCTTCATCGTCTGCCGGGCGCTGCGATGCATGCAGAGGGTCGAGGCCGGGTTCGGGTGGTGATGTCATCGATGTGCTCGGCGAATCAGTGCGTTTCACGCCAGCGTCGCCATCCAGCCCAGACTTCAGCTCCTGGGCGTGCTCCAAATGTACGCTGCGCAACCCGACGGGCGCGGGTCACTGTACGGCCTGCGGATCCTCCAAACTGCATGGTTTCTCGGAGCCGTCCAGCTGCTCATCATGCTCTCGGAAACAACCGCACTCCCACCCGCGTGCCTTTACCTCCACCTCCTCCTCGTCCTCCATTTCGTCCCCGTCGGCGCAGGACAAGAGTGTGTGCCAGTGGACGTGTCCTGCCTGCACGCTGCTGAACGAGGGAAGGATGAAGCACTGCGCCGCATGTCACACGCCGCAGCAGTACCTGAATCTGAGGAAAACCGGGAAGCCGCTCAAGCGCAGGGAGAGCATGCATGTGGAGGCCCGCAGGCGCACGGATGAGGGAGAGGCCAAGGAATTGTGGGAAAATATCGTCAGCTTCTGTAGGGAGGTAAGATTCTGTCACTTTCATTGACACAAAAAGGAATGTACGGTAACACTTTATAATAACTACACACTATCAATCATTTATTAAGCATTAGCAAATAGTGAATTCATTATCCGTTAAGCATTAACTCTACATTAATAAACGTTAGTAAGCAGTTTATAACTGCAGCTACAAATGCTCCATTCTTGACTTATAACCACATTTAAAATGTGCTTAATTATTGTATTTTCATACTTGGTAAATAATTTATTTTTCATTACTAAATTAAGTATCGCATTATTTACAAACCAGTTGTATTTAATAGTAGTTGAGGGTTTTTAGGATCATTCAGAATGAGTTAGTAAATGATTAATAAACTATTGAAATTAACGTTTGTATGTCTTATTATTCAAGCATATATTAATGGTTACTATGTATGTTAATAGATGCTTTATTAACTCAACTTTACCTAGTTTTTTGACCTAATCTAAAGTGAGGACTATTCATGCTTTATAAATCCTTTATAAATGACAAATAAAGGTTCAGTTAAATTCTAAACAGGAAAAATGACATTATTAATTCCTATTCAATTAAAGATACACAAATGAAACTGTACTTCAAATGAAAAATAAGTCTTTGCAACCTGATCTAAAATAAAATCACTGTAGAGTTTAAACATTACATTTTATTACATTGTTTAATTATTATATTGTTGTTTTATCCAGTTTTGTTGTATTTTGAAACTCCTGTTATTCAGCAATGTTTAAACTTTACAGTAATTTTACATTTTAGAAAAGATTGCAAAGATTATTGTTCATTTGATTCTGAGCCTTTATTTGTCATTTATATGAGATTTATAAAGCCATAAATAGTCCTCACTTTAGATTAGGTCACAAAACTGCATGAAGTTGAGTTAATAAAACATTTATTAACATATTAGTTGACTATTAGTATATGCCTGAATAATAAGACATATAAACGTTGATTTCAATAGTTCATTAATCATTTGAATGATCCTCATTCTGAATGATCCTAAAAACCCTCAACTACTCTTAAATACAACTGGTTTGTAAATAATGCAATACTTAATTTAGTAATGAAAAATTAATCATTTACTAAGTATGAAAATACAGTATTAAGCACATTTTAAATTTGGTTTTAAGTCAAGAATGGAGCATTTGTAGCTGCAGTTATAAACTGCTTACTAATGTTCATTAATGTAGAGTTAATGCTTAACAGATAATGAATTCACTATTTGCTAATGCTTAATAAATGATTTATAGTGTGTAGTTATTATAAAAAGTTACTGATTGTACTTATTTATGCCGAGTGTTGTGCATATAAAACTTGTTTATTGTTATTTTTAGTTCTGTTAGGTGGATACTAGATACACCATATTATTCTATTTTGCCACAGGCGATAATGATAAAAGGCTTGTTGATGCCTCCTGATAGTATCGCTAGGTTTTTCTCCCTAAATGTGCATGGACCCTTACAATCGTCCCAACTACCCCCCGCCACCCTGCTAATGGCACCCATGTTAGTGATCAATATATTGGTGCGTCTCTAGTGTATAGTGCCTCCACTAGTATACACCCTTGATCCACCTAAATACTAATGCTGCATCATCTAAACATCTGTCCTTCTGTTTGCTATTAAACCACAACTTAATCTGTCAAACTGAGCCACAAACAGAAAAACACAAAGCATTGTAAAAATAGAGGCTCAATAGATACTGCATCTGTTTCTCGGAGATGGTGGTCAGCTTTGTGTTGGAGGAGATGCTGACAGCAGTTGTCCAGCACTGTTTCAGCATCGTCCCGCAGAAAAAAACAACTCTTTAAATGGATTGCATGTGATGATGATTCACTGCCGTCAGGGCAAATGCAAATTCGCAAGTTCTTCTTGTTCTTGATCCTTTTCCATAGTCAATACAAAGTCTCAGAAAGAACACCAAAGTGTTTAGGCACTTATCATGAGTACAGTTAATACTGCTTTGAGTTCATCTTTGAAAGTGAACAACTTCCCTAATTCGGGACTCATTAATGCAGACTTGCCTGAAGATGAGTTTCCAAAAGCTTGCTTATTAAATCAGGAGTTTTCCTTTCAGATACTGTATATTTCACAGAGCAACTCATTTATTTCTGATCAACTCCTGTAATATTGATTTTATGTTTTTGCCTTAAGATCTGTAGTCAAATCAAACTGACCTTTGCTGAACCAATGGCTGAAATCAAGACAAGCCTTAGGGTCCCTCTTTATATCAAGTGGCCTTAAACTACTATGCACTTGCATTTAAATTAATCATTTGTTACATTGCACTTATTATTTACGTACATGTTTTTGCATTCTACTTAAATATTAAAAATGATCTGGATGTATTTACATCTTAAAAGTTTGACTTTTCTGTAGTCTTTATCATGGTTCATTGTCTAAAACTGACAGAAAATAAAAAGTTATTTTCTAGGCTCATACGTCTAGGAACTATACTCTCATTTTGGCATAGTAATAAAGGATCTTTGCTGTCGTACCCTGACTGCAGCATCGCAATGATTTTAAAAGCGCAATGAAATCAGCTAACCTCTGTCAATAAAACCAGCTTGCAGCAACCATGGTACGGATTAACAAAATATTAAATAGAAAATTTATGCAAAGTCTTTTTCTTTCTGTTTTTTTTTTTTTGAGCAAGATGCTAATGGTCTAATCTGATTCAATTATCTATGCTAAACTAAGCTGCAAGGGCTTCTGCCAGACTCATAAATTGTCTGAGTGGACTCAAAAATGGTAAAACTAAACTAACTGCAGTGCATCCTGGAAGTATTGATAGAGCTTTACTTTTTCCACATTTGTTTATGTCACAGTCTTATTCCAAAAGGGATTAAATTAATTTATTTCCTCAACATTGTGCACACAATCCCCCATAATGACAATGTGAAAAAAAGAGTTTTGGAAATTGTTGCAAATTTATAGAAAATGAAAAAGCTGTAAAATCACATGCACATCAGTATTCACAGACTTTGCTCAATCCTCTGTTGATGCACCTTTGTCAGCGATTACAGCCTCAAGTCTTTTTGAATATGATGCCACAAGCTTGGCACACCTGTCTTTGGGAATTACTGCCCATTCCTCTTTGCAGCACCTCTCAAGCTCTATCAGGTTGTATGGGAAGCGGCGGTGTACAGCCATTTTCAGATCTCTTCAGAGATATTTAATAGGATTTAGGTCTGGGCTCTGGCTGAGCTACTCAAGGACATTCACCGAGTTGTTGTGAAGCCACTCCATTGATATTTTGGCGCTGTGCTTTATTGCGTTGTCCTGCTGGAAGATGAACCGTCGCCCCAGTCTGAGGTCAAGAGCACTCTGAAGCAGGTCTTCATTCAGGATGTCTCTGTACATTGCTGCATTCATCTTTCCCTCTATCCTGACTAGTCTTCCAGTTCCTGCTGCTGAAAAACATCCCCACAGCATGATGCTTCCACCACCATGCTTCACTGTAGGGATGGTATTAGCCTGGTGATAAGTGCTGCCTGGTTTTCTCCAAACATAACGCCTGGCGTTCACTCCAAAGAGTTAAAGAATTTAGTTTCTTAAGATCTGAGAGTCCTTCAGATGCCTTTTGGCAAATTCCAGGTGGGTAGTGACTTCCGTCTGGCCACTCTACTATACAGGCCTGATTGGTGGACTGCTGCACAGATAGTTGTCCTTTGGTAAGGCTCTCCTCTCTCTACAGAAGAATCAAGACTGAGTGACCATTGGGTTATTGATGACCTCGCTGACTAAGGCCCTTCTCCCCCGACCACTCAGCTTAGATGGCCGGCCAGCTCTTGGAAGAGTCCTGGTGGTTCCAAACATCTTCCACTTACAGATGATGGAGGCCGCTGTGGTCAATAGAACTCTCAGAGCAGCAGGAATGTTTGTGTAACCTTCCCCAGCCTTTTGCCTCAAGACAATCCTGTCTCAGAGGTCTACAGACAATTCCTTTGTCTTCATGCTTGGTTTATGCTTTGACATGCACTGTCAACCCTGGGCCCTTACACAGACAGGTGTAGCCTTTTCAAATCATGTCCAATCAACTGAACTGACCACAGGTGAACTCCAATGAAGCTGCTGAAACATCTCAGGAATGATCAGTGAAAACAGAATTTATCTGAGCTCAATTTAGAGCTGTGAAGGCTGTGAAAACTGATGTACATGTGATTTCTCAGCTTTCTATTTTAAATAAAATTTCACATTGTCATTATGGGGTATTGTGTGCAGAATGTTGACAAAATAAATGAATTTAATCCATTTTGGAATAAGGCTGTAACATAAAAAAGTGGAAAAAGTAAAGCGCTATCAATACTTTCAGGATGCACTGTATAGGAGAGCTAAACAAATGAGCCATTCTTTTTCAAAAATAATGGAAAAATGAGCCACTATTTCCAACAAAAGTGGAGTTTTCTTAACACCACTTCATTTAAAGTGGGAGCGACCTTAGTATAATTACCTAAGAAAGCATATCAGCTCAACAATACCTGCTATTATTATCTTATTAAATGTTAAATATGTTTAGATGCTTCTCTGTTTGTCTCTGATGTCTTTGCTTCTTGCATAATTTCCACATGAGGATCAATGCAACATTAGATCAATCCTGATGTTTTCTCTGGATCTTACATGAAGCATGCATTTTTTCAGTTTTTTTTTTGTTTGCATGGTTCATATTTGGATGGTCCCTCTGTGTTTATGGGGCACATCAGAATGCATTAGTGTTCACACTGTAAATGTGATGTGACCACAAACATCCCTGACCACCTCTGAAGACGCTGGGACTGATCTGATCCGAGGTTTGCTTGTGATGGGATCAGCTCAGATAAATGTTAATTCCAGCAGACGTGCAGCTGTGCTTTGACCCAGATGTTCACACTTCAGAACAGCTGCATACTGATCCAGTAAAGGCAAGACACTGCAGGTGAACAGGGTAAAAATATCAACCAAGATCAATCACTGTACTTGCATAGTCGACTGATTACTTTAAGATATCAATACTTTTAGCATTGGATGTGTTGTTTTAATATGAAAATTAGAGTTTATTTCATTAAATATGTGCTAATTTGCATATATGTCGTCCAAAAATATGAACATTTTGTTAAAGTCAAGTTCATATTAGAGTCAAAGCTTTTAGGAGTGTCTTCAAAATTTGAAAAATAGTGCAAACAGCCTGTGTTACTTATTAAAAATTTTGTATATTCCTTCATTTTCCTTCAGCTTAGTATTCATCAGGGGCCACCAAAGCGGAATGAACCGTCAACTATTCCAGCATATGTTTTACACAGAGGATGCCCTTCCAGGCGCAACCCAGTATTGGGAAGCATCCATACACACACTCATTCACACACACACACTCATACACAACGGCCAATTTAGTTAATTAAAGTCATCTATAGCACATGTGTTTGGACTGTGGGGGAAACCAGAGCGCTCGGAGGAAACCCACGCCAACACGAGGAGTGCCAACTGGCCCAGCTGGGACTTGACCCAGTGACCTTCTTGCTGTGAGGACCCAAGTTTGTATATAATCAGGCAAATCCCCTCTGTAAATGCATTAAAAACACAGATATGAATAAACCTATTAAGTTTTGTGTATGTAAGAGCAGCTAAAATGGAGATTTTAGGCTCAGTGCAGGTGGGAAAAACCCTAAAAATGTGTATTATAAATGACATTTACGGACACACATTGGTAAAAAAAAGTCTAAAATTTAAAGTCTATTTTTTAACATCAGACAGAAAACCTTAGTATAAAAGAAGTAAAAAAAAAAATGTAAAGGAATAGTTCTCACAAAATTTACAATTACTAACCCTAAGGTGGTGCAAAACCTTTACAAGTGTCTTTATTCTATTGAACACAAACAAAGATATTTGAAAGATTATTGACGTCCATAGTTAAAAAAACAAATACTGAGAAAGTCAATGGTTGCCAACATTCTTCAAAATATCTTCTTTAGTGTTCAGTAGTAAAAAAAAAAACATTTGGAACCTCCTAAGGGTGAGTAAATAGTGAGTAAATGTTCAGTTTTAGGTGAACTATGCCTTTAAAATGTATTTTAAATGTTCTCTTTAGATTTAAATAAGGAAAAAACCATATAAAAATGTACAAAATACAATAAAAAAGTGTATTTTAGATGTTTTATATACATAAAAAATGAAACAAAAAAAGTTTAGGTGTGTTTGCCTGCAGTGTCTCTTCTTTACAAGCAATTCATTCACTCATTTTCCTTCGGCTTACTTTTTAGGGGTCGCCACAGCAGAATGAACCGCATATGTTTTGCACAGTGGATGCCCTTCCAGCCACAATCTAGTACTGAGAAACACCTACACACTCATTCACACTCACTCATACACTACGGCCAGTTTAGTGCATCAATTCCCCTATAGCGCATGTGTTTGGACTATGTGGGAAACCGGAGCACCCAGAGGAAACCCACGTGAACACGGGGAGAACATGTAAACTCCACACAGAAATGCCAACAGGCCCAGCTGGGACTCGAACCAGTGATCATCCTGCCGTGAGGCCACAGTGCTTACCACTGAGCCACCATGCCACACAACCAATTCAGTGATGCATAGCTCTCTTTGCGAATAGTATTTTAGGACTGTTAGCCTCACCGCACTTCCACGTCTGAGCACATCTTCTCAGCAGCCCCTCCGTCTGCGTTTCTCAACCTGGGAGGTGTATTTTTAGAAACGGTTGCGGCAGCAATTAAATGGCTCCCCAGAGTCAAAATGACCCCTATTCCTCCAGAATACACGTGTTTGTCCAGCAATAGAAAATAAATCAGGTGCGCTGTGAGCTGCTGCTGCCCGTGAGAGTATAGCATTGAAGGTTTATTGTTCTGCAGAATCTCTGCTGCAGTTCCGCTTCAGAAGCTTCCAGACTGTTTTATTGCAGATTTACTCTTTGTCAGACTGTAAATAGTAGTTTTTAGAAAATTGATGTACTTGCCTGCTTAAGGATGTTATGCTAGGTTACACTTAAAATGAATTCAGTTACATTCCATGTGTATTTGTGTGCAGAGTTTATGCTTACTTATTAATGGTAAATTAATAAAGTTATTCATTTAAAACCACATGAATTTAAAGCACTAATGAAAGACTTCTCACACTTTTGCTATTAGATTAGTTGGTAACACTTTACAATAAGGTTCATTAGTTAATGCATTTACTAACATGGACTAATCATGAACAACACATGTACAGTATTTATTAATCATAATTGAACATTTACTAATGTATTATTAACATCCAAGTCCATGCTTGTTAACATTAGTTAATGCACCATGAGTTAACATGAACTAACAATGAACAACTGTATTTTCATTAACTAACGTTAACTAACATGAACAAATACAGTAGTCGATGTATTGTTCATTATTTGTTCATGTTAGTAAATGCATTAAATAACATTAATTAATGAACCTTATTGTAAAGTCTGACCGATTAGTTTTTATGTACCTATTTAAGGTTGGCAGTTTGTCACATGCATTTGTAAAAGCATGTAGCTACTTATTTTAGCCATATTACAAACTTGTTAGGTTAATACGTATTGTAAATATTATTTATGGTCAATGAGATGCAAATAAATATCATTTATATTATATGTTCAATTATAGCAAATGAGGAGTGTGTGTGGGCTGGTAAACTGCTAAATATATTTTAGAAATAATTAATTCATTCATTTTCTTTTTGGCTTAGTCCCTTTATTAATCCGGGGTCACCACAGCAGAAGGAAACCACCAACTTATCCAGCATATGTTTTACGCAGCAGATGCCCTTCCAGCTGCAACCCATCTCTGGGAAACACCCATACACACTCGCTCACACTCATACACTAGGGACGATTTAGCCAACCCAATTCACTTCTACCGCACGTCTTTGGACTGTGGGGGAAACCAGAGCACCCATGCAAACGCAAGGAAAACATGCAAACTCCACACAGAAATGCCTATTGACCCAGCCGAGGCTCGAACCATCGTCCTTTTTGTTGTGAGGTGACAGCACTACCTACTGCACCACCGTGTCACCCTTTTAGAAATAATTATGATTGTATAAATAATTGATTGTGGAAAATGTCAAACATATAAAGTATAATATAAATTTTAATACATAATTTTTTTTTACATTTTTGTCTGTTTAATGCAAATAAGTCTTTTATAACTGATAAAACTGTTTTACACCACATTTATAAAAAAAATATAGATATATATATATATGTATATATAGTGTGCGATACTTTCAACTGTCAAGTGCGCGCTGTGTCGCGGCGCAGAGCGGCGCATATGGTGTGTGACGCCCTTTATGCAGATGAGAGACTTTTGTAACTAATTTCTGTTTTAAACCATATTCAGTAATTAAAAGTAAAATTCTACACATATTATTTAATGATTTCAAATATTTACTTGTTATTACATGTGATAATGAATATATATATTATATATATATATATATAATATTTATTTATTTATTTATATACTTTTATTACTGATTCCCATTTTACACATTTCCTAAAAATAAACAAAAACATCTAAAATTAAAATGATACTCACATTATTTAATGACAGCAGATGTTTACATGTGGTTAATTAAATTAAAAAATATATATTTTTGTATGTATTTAATGCAGATCAGACTTCTGTAACTGATACCTATTGTGCAGCATTCATTTATTAATTTTCCTTCAGCTTAGTCCCTTTATTCATCAAGGTTCGCCACAGCGGAATGAACCGCCAACTTATCCAGCATATGTTTTACACAGCGGATGCCCTTCCAGCTGCAACCCAGTACAGGAAAACACCCATACACACTAATACACTATGGCCAATTTCATTCATTCAATACATCTATGCGCATGTGTTTGGACTGAGGGGAAAACCGGAGCACCTGGAGGAAACCCACGCCAACACGGGGAGAACATGCAAACGCCAAACAGAAATGCCAGCTGACCTAGCTGAGGCTCGAACCAATCTTCTTGCTGTGATGGGACAGTGCTAACCACTGAGCCACCATGTCACCCATTATTTTGCAGCATATTTATTCAAAATATTTCACGATTTCATATATTCACGTGTGCATGTGATATCTTAATGGGCAAATAAGATCTATTTAATACAGATAAAACTTTTGCAACCGATTCCTATTTAAAAATATACCATTTTAGATTAAAATGATGCACACATTATTTTTAAATTTACATCTGTGTGTGAGATATCTTACAGTGCTGTGGTGTGTTTGTTGCAGAACGCAGTGAATTTCGTGGATGACAGTTTTCCTCCTGGTCCTCGATCGGTCGGTTTCCCGGAAAACGACAGCGTCCAGCAGCGGATCAAGAAGTGGCTCCGTCCTCATGAGATCAACTGCAATAACTTTAAGGATCGCGGTGTGAAGTGGTCTGTGTTCAGGACACCCCGTCCCTCAGATATTCTGCAAGGCCTTCTGGGAAACTGCTGGTAAGAGAAGAGCTCCATATAAAGCACTGCACCGTATATTACATACAGTAGCATATACAGTAATATGAACAGTATGCGAGTCAGCATGTTTAAAGGGACAGTTCACCCTAAAATGAGAATTCTGTCCTCATTTACTTGCTCTTTATTTGTTTCAAAGTCAAACCTGTATGAGTTTTGAACACAAAAGAAGATATTTCGAAGAATGCTGAAAATAGAGAAAGTTGGATGTTTTAATCGTCATTTATAAATGACACTAAGAAAATTTCATTTTTAAAAACACTAATGACATTTAACCTGTACAATAAAATTTTAGTAATGTCACATGACATCTTTAGCCAACTGAACTAAAAGATAGTGGCCATTAGCTTTACATAATTAGAAAACACAAACTAAATGAGACACCAGCACACATTAGGTGACATGCTCTCACAGCAAGATGGTGAGTTCATTTTTAACTATAAAATCATAAAAACTCTTAAACAATAATATATTGTACATTTTAGGATGTTTTCTAAAGATTTCTGTAATTTTTTATCCACATTTTAGAAAAACAATAACTCCAAAACACAAAAATCTGCGCATCATGTAAAAAATTAGTCATTTGGCGGAATGAACCGCCAACTTATCCAGCATATGTTATAAGCAGGCCTTCCAGCTGCAACCCAGTACTGGGAAACATCCATACACTGTCATTCACACACATACACTACAGCCAATTTTAGCATATTCACCAATGCCATGTGTTTGGACTATGGAAACCGGAGCACCCAGGGAAACCCATGCCAACATGGGGAGAACATGCAAACTCCACACAGAAATGCCAACTGGCCCATCCAAGGCTCGAACCAGGGACCTTCATGCTACCCACTGTGCCACCGTGTCACCTAAAGTTTTTGATTTATATGATGATATTGAATGTAATTGTATTGCCTGTTTTTTGTGACCCCTTCAAAGCAGTGTTTCTCAACCACGTTCCTGGAGGACCACCAGCACTGCATGTTTTGGATGTCTCCTTTATCTGTCACACCCATTACAGGGTTTCAGTCTCTGCTAATGAGCTGATGATCGGAATCAGGTGTGTTTGGTTAAGGAGACATGGAAAATGTGCAGAGCCAGTGGTCCTCCAGGAACGTTGTTGAGAAACACTGATTTAAAATATATCAATATTATAAAATGAGAAGTGTGGCTGCTGATGTGGATGTGTGGCGAAGCCAAAGATAAATTTCCTCTTGTGGACAATAAAGAAACGGAACTAAATTCAAGAAACTCATAAAGGTTTGGTACTGCTTGAGGGTGAATAAATAGTACACTTTAATTTTTGGGTGAACTATCCCTTTAATGCATTAATGATGAGACGCTGCAGGCCACAACACTGTTTTTCACCTGTCAATTCTGTTTGTTTGTTTTTTTGTCTTTTCATATAAAGTGTTTTTGTTTTTTTAAATGAATGGAGAGGAAAATCCATACTGCACTTTGTGTTTTTTACTACACTTCAATTAAATTGTGTCTGTAAATTTAAACCACAATACATATATTTAAAGGCTGCTTTCACCATAAATCTCCATTTAAACATGCCAAACTGCAGATTTTTTTTCATATTAACTTTCCTTCGGCTTAGTCCCTTTATTTATCAGGGGTCTCCACCACAGCGGAATTAACCACCAACTATTCCAGCATATGTTTTGCCCTTCCAGCTGCAGCCCAGTACTGTGATACAGTACTAGAGGGGGTTCGTTTTAGGTTGCTAGGCAACTATGAACCATTTTCTTAGAGCACAGGCGTCAAACTCAGTTCCAAAAGGGCCGCAGCTCTGCACAGTTTAGTTCCAACCCTAATTAAACACACCTGATCAAACTAATTGAGTCCTTCAGGCTTGTTTGAAACCTACAGGTAAGTGTGTTGAAGCAGGGTTGGAACTAAACTGTGCAGGGCTTCGGCCCTCCAGGAATTGAGTTTGACACCCCTGTCTTAGAGGATGACAAGCTGATAAAACATTGCTGTCACTCCGATACAAGTTTTATTTATGGAAAAAAATTACTAATCACTGCAGTGTTTGGGTGTTCTGTGTTTGACTGCAATAATTAGTCTACCGAAATGTGAATATTCCATACAAAGTATGAAGCTCATTGGTCAGTTCTTGTCACGTGACATGCAGCATTCATTCATCTTGGTGCCTCCTGAAGCGCCACGCCACTTGTGCACACCTACATTGGAAATAACAAACTTGTATGAACTCTAGAAAAGACGCTATATGTGAACGCCTCCTAAAAGGCCGCCATCATTTGCGTTCTCCAGCAGTTGATCTTCTTGTACAGACATGCTGGATTCACCTGATTTGTTGACAAATGGGTTGCGGATCTATTCCTTGGCAGGTTGCAGGTCCTTCACTTGGCATTTTCCCATTAGCTAAGAAACTTTCCATAGTCGTCTGTTTCTCTCTCATTTTGCTGCATGTGGGTTTAATTTGGGAGACCAACTGACCGAGATGTAAGCAAGTGAATATGCTCATTTTTTAAAATAAAAGATTTTTCAATATAAAAGATTGTTTAGACTTTAAAGATTATAAATAAAACGGAAATAATTAATGCTTTCTTGTGCGGCCAGATACCAATTGATCCACCTGATGGTTGAGGACCACTGGTTTAGACAATCTCTAGCATTGAGTTGATCTGTATTGTTGTTCACAGAGTCTTGATTTGTTTTTGAATTGTTCATGCTGTATTTTTCAGGTTTCTGAGTGCGCTGGCGGTGTTGGCGGAGCGGCCGGAGTTGGTGGAGCGAGTGATGATCACCAGAAGCATCTGTCAGGAAGGAGCCTATCAGGTCCGGCTCTGTAAAGACGGCATGTGGACCACCGTTTTAGTGGACGACATGCTGCCCTGTGACGAATACGGCTTTCTGCTCTTCTCGCAGGTTTGTTCTGCTGTAGTTTCTTAAAGGTCTCGTGAAGTGCTTTGAAAGGTGCACTTTTTATTACCTTTAAAGAGATTGTGATTTAGTTTGATGCCTAATCTGCTTTTGATTGTTTAAATTAAACTGAACTGAATGATATTAAAGTGATGTTTGCACCACATCTGCACTTTGAAATCTCAGCAACAGCTGGAGGTTTGTAGTCCACAGCATGTTACTGCAATGTTTACAGTGCTGATCCTATACTCCTGGGTTTCTTCCCACCACAGTTTTGTTTTAAAATGGCGGCCACGTGAAATAAGCATATAGATGTCCCTAAAACTAACAGACTGAAACTAACTGAAAAACTTTAGTTTAATTTCACAGGACATTTAAAGTTTGTGTGAATCAAAAGTTGCTAAGACTTTATATGTCATAATATGAAAGGTATTTCTTTCTAATGTTAGGATCATTTTAGAAAAAGTCACCAAACGTCAAGATAAAATGCATTATCTTTTTTTCTGCTGTTAAAATGGTGCCCAGATCATTTTTGACCTACAGCTGAAGTCAGAAAATATTAGCTTTTCCTGTTCAATCATAATATTTCATGATTCATGATTATATTCATGATCATAATTATTTTATATATATTTTTCCCAAGTTACTGATTCTTTTTGTCATGATGACTTTTTTTTCAAGGCACTAGTATTCAGCTTAAAGTGACATTTAAAGGCTTAACTAGGCAGGTTAGAGTAATTAAGCAAGTCATTGTATAACAGTGGTTTGTTCTGTAGACAATCCAAAACTATATCACTTAGGGGGCTAATAATATTGACCTTAAAATGGTGTTTAAAAAATTAAAAACTGCATTTATTCTAGCCAAAATAAAACAAATAAGACTTTCTCCAGAAGAAAAAATATTACCAGACATATAATAAACATAATTTAGGACATATTTGAGAAACATTTACCAGAGGGCTGAACATGAGAGTCAGTGTTTGTGTTTCCACATGTGTGTGTTTCCATGTGTTAGGCTCAGCGGAGGCAGCTGTGGGTTGCACTGATAGAGAAGGCTCTGGCCAAGCTGCATGGCTCTTATTTTGCGCTTCAGGCCGGTCGAGCGATCGAGGGTCTGGCAACGCTCACCGGAGCCCCCTGTGAGAGTCTGATGCTGCAGGTCAGCTCAACAAACCCTCGAGAAGAGCCCATCGACACTGACCTCATCTGGGCCAAAATGCTGAGCTCCAAAGAGGCCGGGTAACACTAACACACACTCACTGTTAAATAAAAAAAAAACACACACAAACAAAAGGAGCTTCAGGGGATTCTCTCAAATATACAAAACAAAGCTAGATGTTAACGTCTAAAAAACGTTATATTGGCTTGAGAAAGACTGTTGGAAGTAGTTTAAGGTCGAAGCAAGAAATAAAAAGCATAAGTAGATAGATAGATAGATAGATAGATAGATAGATAGATAGATAGATAGATAGATAGATAGATAGATAGATAGATAGATAGATAGCTTGTTTCTAGTATGAATTCTAAATAGCTTGTTTCTAGTATGAATTGGCATGTTGCTAGCATGTTTCCAGTATGAATTAACATGTTGATAACATGTTTCTAGTACAAATTAGCATGTTGTTAGCATGATTTAGAATGAAATAGCATGTTTTAAATACGAAATAGCCTGTTTTAGCATGATTTTAGAATTAAACATGTTCATAGCATGTTTCTAGTATAAATTAGCATGTTGATAACATGTTTTAGTATGAATTAGCATGTTGCTAGCATGTTTCCTGTATAAATTAGCCTTTTTGCTAGTATGTTTCTAGTAATAATATGCATGTTGTTAACATGTTTCCAGTATAAACTTGCTTGTTGATTGCATGTATTTTAGTATGTATTAGCATATTATAAGCATGATTTTAGAATTGAATAGCATGATTATAGTATGTTTCAGCATGAATTAGCATGTTGGTAGCATGTTTCCAATATGAATTAGCATGTTGATAACATGTTTCTAGTACAAATTAGCTTGTTGTTGGCATGATTTAGAATGAAATAGCATGTTTCTAATACGAAATAGCCTGTTTTAGCATGATTTTAGAATAAAATATGTTCATAGCATGTTTCTAGTAATCATGCTAATAACAGGAGTACTAGAAGCATGCTATCAACATGCTGTTTTATACTAAAATCATGCTAAAACATGCTTTAGTATGAAATAGCATGTTGATAGCATGTTTCTAGTACTAATTAGCCTGTTTTTAGCATGACTTAGTATGAAATAGTATAGCTGCGTCCCAGATCGCATACTTATGCATTATTCTACGCCATTTTGTACTCTCTAAAAATAATAAGAGCACTTTAACTACCCAGATGATACACTCATTCAGCCGGTAAAATGAAGTGTGTAATGATGGACACTTCAAGCACTCAATGACAGCAGTTAAGCTCACGTAGCGGAAGAGGCGGAGCTATTGGGCGCACATGTTGGATTACTTTATTTTTGATGGTGAAAAGCAAAATTCTCCTACAAGACTGATTATAGCGGCTTCCGATGGTGAATCCGGTTATACTCATGGCAGGTATTATTTGATAGTTTGGTCATTTATTCCACTGATTTGGCCATCAAACGTCATCAGGAAAACGGTTTGAATTTCCACTTAGTAAAAAAAACATTAGTGCTCCATTTGGGACACCACTACATGCATGTACTATGCTGTTGAGTGTGTAAGTGCATAAGTACATAGTGCATGAGTGCTTAGTGAATAGTGTGCCATTTGAGACGCAGCTTATGTTTCTAGTACGAATTAGCATGTTGTTAACATGATTTTAGTATAAATTAGCATGTTTTTAGCATGTATGAGGCCGGGTAACACTAACACACACTCACTGCTAAATCAAACAAAAGGAGTTACAGATGCGATTAGTGGGCTAATCAGATGAATCATTCTTTAAAGTATATGAAACAAAATAATAAACTTTAACTTATTTTTCATGTGCCCTGGACTAGTTTTACACACTGAGCTGTCATATCAGTGCTACACACTAAACTCATTTCAGGCAGATTATAAGATGTCAAGGCCTCTTTTATCATGTATACTGAAGGCAGAAAGCCAATAAATCAATTTTAAAAGGAAGCAAAAGCCTTCTCGAGTGTCATCACAAGTTAGGAAGTGTCTTTCAAAGGTTTTCTAGATTTCTTGCTAATTACGGGCTCAAATTACAGGGCAATTAGTGCCAAGCATTAGCTGTGCACACAGTATAACAACTGAATAACACAGCTCATTCTGCAAAAGATTGATTATTATTTAAAAATAACAAAAATATACATATTATTTAATACATATTTTAAAGTTTGTAATAAATCTGTACATTTTTATTAATAATTTTTAATAAACTATCTGTATGAAACTAATTTGAAATAGCCTGTTTTAGCATGATTTAGAATGAAATATGTCCATAGCACATTTCTTGTATAAATTAGCATGTTGATAACATTTTGTTATGAATAAGCATGTTGCTAGCATGTTTCCATTATAGATTAGCCTTGTTGCTAGCATGTTTCTAGTATTAATTTGCATGTTGTTAACATGTTTCCAGTATGAAATAGCTTGTTGATTGCATGTTTTATAGTATGTATTAGCATATTGTTAGCATGATTTTAGAATTGAATAGCATGGTTATAGTATGTTTTCAGTATGAATTAGCATGTTGGTAGCATGTTTCCAATATGAATTAGCTTGTTGATAACATGTTTCTAATTATAAATTAGCATTTTGGTTACATGTTGATTGCATGTTTCATAGGAAGAATTAGCATACTGTTAGCATGATTTTAGTAGATGCTAATTATTGCATATTTTTAGTCATTAAGTTAAACAATAGCTTCGTCGTTATAATTAATTTAAACTGTTTTAGTGTTTGTTTTGTGAAAAAAAATATAAGCAAACTTATACAAATATGAGTTATAAACATTATCTATTCATAATGTCGCAGTACATTTTCACATAATGCCTTAAACACATAATATAATCCTGTTTTAGCAGTATTGGCATTACATTTATAAGATAATCTTAATAATATTTGGTCTCACATACACATTGTATCCTCAGCGAAGCCTGGTACACAAACACGATTTACACATGTTTCAATAATACTGTACTATAAAGTTACATTCACGTAGTTAATAGGGATGCTGCAATACTCTGTATAATGCTGAACTATTCCGTGCGACCTCCATCGTTCAATACAAATATGGATTTTGTGGTTTCTGTGGGTTTCATTAAGTCAAACCTAAGACTTTTTAAGGATAAAGTCATACGTTGTACTAATTTTGTATGCAATAATAAGTATAATGCCATAAAAAAGTGTTTATTTAGTTAGTATGTATTGCATTGGTTTTGAGGGGAGAATAACTTGTGGATATTCATTGGCTGACTGTGATTGGCTCTTGTCTCAGTTTCCTGATGGGTGCGTCCTGTGGGGGCGGGAACATGAAGGTGGATGATGCTGTGTATGAATCTCTGGGGCTCCGCCCACGACATGCCTACTCCATACTGGACGTCAGAGACGTGCAGGGCTACAGGTCAGACTCAATCACAACATGCATATGATTTCTGACCTAAAATGACTGATTTTACTGCATCTTTATTTTCCATTTAAAATTTACAGCAATATTTGTGAATTTGAATAGATATGTTATGTGGGCTAAAATTACGTTTAAATATCAGTTTCCAATATAATAGTACTTGTTGATGAGAAGTTTTACGGTAGGTTTAGACAATTCAAAATCATTTTGTAATAAATTAATTAATTATCTTTTACATATTGACATTTACTTTTTGTTATAATTTTTTAAACAGGAAAAGATAAAAAGATAATCGGGCTGACTCAGCATGAATGCTGTTTTTCAGCAGGTTCCTGCTCTGCAGAACATAAAAACAGACAGACATCTCATCCATCAACACAGTACAAACAATCACCAAACATAACATAGAGAAAAGCAGGCTACTGTCTCAGTGGCTACATCGATAGTTGACCATCAGATGACGAGCATGTGATTTTTTTTAAAAAGTCTCAGTGTTGGTAATGTTTTTAGATGTTGTGGGATCTCATTCCTGCCTTTTGTAAATACATAAAACAAAGATCTCTGTCCATAACAGCTTTTAAAAGCCGATAATGGCAAACATCCATTTGTTACAGATCTGGTGGAACGATCAGTGTTAAGTTTTGGTACCAAAGCACAAAGGGCTGCTGAGGTAGCGCTATTTAAAATGTGATAGTACAGTTTAATCCCTGTGTTCATCATGTAGTTTTGAAATGTTAAAGCATTAGAACGTGATAGAGCAAAACAGTGATGTGTCCATCCAGGAAGTCTGATGTGGATCTTATAGGTCCTATTGTACAGTCTAGCTATTGGCTCCAAGATATCATTTGTTGTGAGAGACCAAACAGGCAAACAATAAAGCCTGGTTTATACTTCTGCGTCAGGTGACCGGCGTAACCCACGGCGCATGCAACGTGTGTAGCTGTGCATTTATACTTCTGCACGCTGTCTCTGTTGGTCTGCATTAATACTTCCGCAACGCTAGTTGGTAGTGAGGTGTAAATGTTCCTCTGTGTCGAGTTTCTTCGCTGCTTTTTTGCTTTTTCTGAACACTTCCGGCAGGTCCGGATTGGCTAATCGGGAGGACCGGGAGAATTCCCGGTGGGCAGGTCTGTTTTTTGGCCGCGAGGGCCGGTGTCCCTAGCTGCTTGCACTCTCAGCAGTCACACTTTTTTGTTCTATTTATTTATTTGACCATAGCTTTACTCTTTTTAATCATTATTTTGCCGCAGTGCCGCTCTTTTTTTTATTTTCTCGCAGCCCCGTGAGAAAAATGCAGCCTGCAGGTTAACTAACGTTAATGATGATGATGTAATGTAACTATCGACCCCAAACAGCGGCACCTTAGTGAATATAAGAATTCGAATAAAATGAATAAAACACCTGCTCAATGAAAATCAAATGATTCACTACATTAATAAATCTGACATAACTTGATCAGAAATCTAAAAATAGGAGAAAAAGATTGAGCCATCAGGGTCGCAAGTCATTAGTTATTTTTTACTTTACTGAAATAGCGCCAATGTGGTCCAGCGGTAAGCACGTTGTACTTCACTGTCGCAGACCTGTGATCGAATCTCCCATGAAGAATCTTTTTTTTTCGATTTTATTGTTAAGACATAAAATACTGTTAGGGCTGTTGAACATTTGAATTTCTAAAGCAGCTGTTTTCTTGAAAAAGACGTGATAGTGCCATTAGTAACTGAATTGGAATCAGTCGTGAACTGAGGTGGGCCGGTCTGGCTTGAAACTCCAGGGCTGAAAATGAGTCCCACTCCGGCCCTGACTTCCGGGATGTACAAGTGGCTCAAACTCGCTCATTTTGAGGCAGGAACCGGCGGACGTGCAACAACTTTATCTATGAGATCAACACAAAACAAAACTTTCCATCCGGAGCTCCTTCACAGTACTCCACACATCGCTCGCGCCATTCGTGCGTCTCTCAGTCCCGCCCAGACTCGTCAGCTTTATCAAGCCGACCAATCACAGAGCTTACGCTACGCTCAAGTTACATTTTTTGAGAGGTGCACGTCAGTGACGGCGAGGGCCACGGCTAAGGGCTATGCGTCAGCGCCGTAGCATACGCCAGCGTTTGACGCAGAAGTATAAATCAGCCTTAAGACAAGGTAGACAAAATTATGGCATGAAGATAATTTTCAGAAACAGAAAAGGATAAATTTGTCCTAATTTTCCCATTTAAAGATAGGTCTTGTTTCAGCTTTTTATAAACATCTTGAACTTACAATAAGTGAGGTGAGAGTCCAGACGGATTCCCAAATATTGATATGTGGATACAATGGTAAGTTTTTGATTTGAGAAAGTGATAGGATGTGGATAATTTTCGCCTAGGTGAATAAAAGTACACACATTCTGTTTTCCTAATGTTAATAGTCAAATGATTGTCATAATCATAGTTATAATGGCTTTATGATACGCTTTGGTTATGTCAAGTTTTCACCACAAAGACAAAAACAGGTTGTGATGCATTTGTTTACGTCAAGTTGTCATAACAAACAATGTCATGTTTGCATTTAAAATGTTGTCAGTTGCATAAAATCTCATTCACAATTATGTCTTATAAACACCTTACAAGCTTTCACAAAAAAAAAGCTTTCACCTGGTACCTGGTAAATTGTAGGAAGTTCGGTGTGAAATACTAATATACTTGGCCACTAATAGAATGAGGGTAATAAGTGTTATCAGGTGTAATCAGCACCATACTGTCCAACAAAGCTTCATTAACCCACCTGACTCATAAGATGGCGTCTAATATCTGATGTCCACATAATGTTGATTGGTGCTGTTTCAGACTGCTGCGTCTCAGGAACCCGTGGGGCCGGTTCTCCTGGAACGGCTCCTGGTCGGACGAGTGGAGCGACTGGCCGCAGCACCTCCGGCACGAGCTCATGGCTCACGGCAGCAGTGAAGGCGTCTTCTGGATGGAATACGGAGACTTCATTAAGTGAGTCCTTAATGAGTTCATCTGTGCTAAACTAACCTTTAATCTGAGAGCAGCTTCATCAGAGCGCTCCAGAAATACAGACCAGCTCATTAGTGCTCACAAGTAGAGCTAGGGCTGTGCAATTAAACAAAGTTTTAATTTTGAGCGATTATTAAAGAATTAATCGCGGTAAGCCTTGAAACCGGTTCTCGTCCCATGCCTGCATTACGCATTGGGCCCTCTGCAAAGCTCAGTTTCACATTAATATTAGTAAAACCATGTAATCACTGTAATGCAGTGGTCCTCAACCATTTGGTACCGCGCACAACAAATCATTAATTATTTCCATTGTATTTATCATCTGAGTCTGAACGATGTTTTATTTCGAAAAAAATTTTACTTTGAAAAATGGCCAAATTCACTTACATCTCGGTCACTTGAGCGCCCAAATTAAACACAGAACCAGCAAGATGAGTAAGAAACAAACATCTTTGGAGAGTTTCTTTGCTAAGTGAAAAGGCCCAGTGAACGACCCACGAATTGCCAAGGAATGGATCCGCAACCCATTTAATTTTCACCAGATCAGGTGAATCCAGCATGTCTGTGCAGGAAGATCACCTGCTTGACATTGCAAATGACGGTGGCCTTTTAGGGGCCATTTGCATATCGTGTCTTTTTTAAAGTTTGCCCTAGTCCATTATTTCTGAAGAAAGGTGCACGGCTTTTGCACACAATCAGCGTGACGCTCGCACCTTCCAGACTCACCCAGGTGAATGAATGCAGTGAGTCACATGAGTCATGTGACAAGACTTGACCGATTAGCTTCTTACTTTGTATGGAATATTCACATTTTGGTAGACTAATTATATTAGACAAACACAGAACAATGTCCCCTTCCCCCACCCCCTGTCCGCGATAAAATTGTCAAGTGTTGAACGGTCTGTGGTGATAAAAAGGTTGGGGACCACTGCTGTAATGTGACTTTTGCAGCATGCGACACGCTTCATTTGTTGACGTGCATTAATAAATACTGTTATGTATTGTAATAAAAAACAAAAAAAAATCTTTTTACACTATTTCTAAAAATAAAAGGAAATTATATTACAACAATTTTTGCTTTTTGTAAATTCAACATTAACATGCATTAAAATGAAATGACAGTTTTTAATTAAAAAAATTAATACATAGTAAATTGAATATTGAAGTATGTAATATATTTTATTAATCTTTTCTACGAATATATTTATGCTATGTTTCTAAATGTATTTTTTAAAATTACATGTCTATGAATATTAAAAGAAACATTTTTATATTAATTATATTTATTACAATTACTAATAAGTTGTGTGTTAAAAAAAAAAAAAAATATATATATATATATATATATATATATATATATATATATATATATAATTTTCTGATGTGGAGACCTGCATTAAAAGTTTTTTGTTATAATTTTTAAGTGTTAAGTTATATAGTTTTTATAAAGTTAGACATTATTTTAATTAAAAAAATCTAATTAAATGTAAAACTATCTATACAAATTTTTCGCGTTCAGGTACTTTGACTCGGTGGACATCTGTAAGATTCATCCAGACTGGCAGGAGGTTCGTCTGCAGGGCTGTTTCCCCTGCCGGGCCAGTAAACCGGTGACTGTAACGGCGCTTACGGTGCTGGAGAGAACGGCGCTGGAGTTCGCCCTCTTCCAGGAAGGCAGCAGGTAAATAACATGGTAAAACAACAGGTGAACACTGGCTATGCTTGTATGCACACAAATGATCCATTTGTAACAGAATTGACAGATCAGTCAGATACAGATTCCAAAACATTCATGTAAACGTCTTAATACATCAGATTGAGCTGGAATAATTTCAGTTTATTTAATTCAAGTGTATTTGTAGAGAGTTTTTCACAATAATTATTATCGTTACAAAGCAGCTTTAGAAAAATGTGCAAATCATTACATTACAGTTGAAATCAGAGATGTTAAGGAATGGTGTATAGGGCGGACATTATATATAAACATAGTCAACCTGCAGTTACATAGTATATAGCATTCTTCCATAAAGATGACGTCAATGTGAACATGTTCAGTGACGTGTATTAAGTGTTTAAGCGATTTAAATATTAATCAGATTAGAAGCTGGGGTTTATTCCTGTAATAATCTAATCCAGCAGCATAAAAATGACCATGTTAATGCTTGAATGTGACTACTTCCTCAATCATAATCAGCAGCCTCCAGGGCACATGATTTAGTGTAACGTTGACATGCTTTAGCCTGTGCATATTTTGATAAATGCATGATAAGGCATGTTAAACCGCGGGCTCCATATTGTCATTAGGCTGCTTAATGAAGCACATTAGAAATGTCCTGTAGCCTGAATATAAGTTTATAATAACCCTAATAATAATATAATAAAATAAAATAAATACGGTGGATTATTAGAATTAGGAATGAAATTAAGAAAATCTGGAAAAAATAAATAAATCTCCAAAAGCAAAAAGAGAGTCCAGACACTTTTAATTAAATTAATTGAAATTATTATTAATTTTAATTTTATTTAAATTGAATTCAAAATATAGACTCATATTTCTATATTCATAACTATAACCTGCTTAAACATACTAAAAATGATAAACCTTTTTTGAGTGACTAAACTTTCTTAAATGCAGATGTTATTATTTGAACGTGTAAAATGCAAATAAACAGATATTTGAATATAGATGATAATGTTTAGAGAACAGATCTGATTCAATTTATTCAGATTGATGAACATTTGTGCATGTAAACATAGCCAACGGCATCAAATATCATTCATAAAACAACAAAATCCTTCATATATGCATGAAAAATGTTAAATTGACTAGAACAATTGTACGAATAAATTGCATGTGATCGATCTGAGTTTATATGAAAGATATTTGTTGATGTTTGTATATGTTTGTTCCAGTTCATAAATAAATTAACTAATACAACCTTATTGTACAGTGTTATTAATATGTTTTGCCTATATTGATCTTTCCATGGGTTGCTGATATGGCAATAAATGTACAAACTACCGAAAACAGAATAAATAATAACAACCCTGCTCTGATTCTACCAGGCGTTCAGACACGGCGGACAGTCACCTGCTGGACTTGTGCATCATGGTCTTCCGGGCCTCGTTCAGTAACGGGAATAAGCTGGTTCTGGGTCGTCTGCTGGCACACAGCAAGCGTGCGGTCAAGAAGTTTGTAGGCTGCGATGTGATGCTGGAGCCGGGCGAGTACGCCGTGGTTTGCTGTGCCTTCAACCACTGGCAGATGGACCTCAGCGGAGCCTCAACACCTGGTACACAAACACCATTCAGACATGTTTCAGTAACACTTCACAATAAGGTTACATTTATTATTGAACCATTCAGTGGAACCTCTATCGTTACGCATATGGATATTGTGGTTTTCCGGTTTCTATGGGTTTCACAAAGTCAAATTTAAGACCTTTTTAAGACCATGATGAATAAAATATCAGACTTGAATAGGGCTAAGTGCAAAGGAGTTATTTAATGTCCCAGCTCAAAAAAAAAAGACTTGCCCTATCAAAATACATTATTTTTTAGCCACGTATTTTGATTATCAAGTCAAAACAAGCAGATCCTAGTTGTATACGTACTATCATTTTTTTAGCATCACTTTTTTTCTCAAGGTTCTCAAGCTTTTTCACTTCGGGGCACAATTCATGCCACGAACAATTTTTGAAGGCCCACCTGTTATTTTCTCTAAAATGTTTATATGAAATGCTCGTTTAAACCTTTATTTATTAACAAATATATATATTGTGCCTTCTATTATTTTCTATTATTTGCATCTTATACATTTATAATTTTATTTAAATTTAATTATATTTAAAACTAAAACTATATAATATATTATATATTAAATATATATATTTACATGTACATATTACATATATACATACATACAGTTGAAGTCAGAATTATTAGCCCCCCTTTGAATGTTTTTTTTTTTTTTCCCAAACTATTTTTAACCGAGCAAGGAAATTTTCACAGTATGTCTGATAATATTTTTTCTTCTGGAGAGAGTCTTATTTATTTTATTTCGGCTAGAATAAAAACAGTTTAAAAATTTTTTAAATGCATTTTAAGGACAAAATTATTAGCCCTTTTAAGCTATATTTTTTCAATATTCTACAGAGTAAACCATCATTATACAACAACTTGCCTAATTACCCCAACCTGCCTAGTTAACCTAATTAACCTAGTTAAGCCTTTAAATGTCACTTTAAGCTTTATAGAAGTGCCTTGAAAAATATCTAGTCAAATATTATTTACTGTCATCATGGTAAAGATAAATAAATCAGTTATTAGAAATGAGTTAATAATTTTATTTATGTTAAAATAAAAATAAACAGGGGGCTAATAATTCTGACTTCAACTGTATATATATAAATTTTAGATATAATTTTAGATTCAGTAAGAACCACAAGTCAACAGGAAGATCGCAAAAGACCAGCTTCTGCTTAAAACTGGACTGACTGAATATCTACTATTAAATATCTACTATTCAAAAATATATAGGCAAATGTAAAAATACAGTAAAACCCCCTTAATCTGTTGAGTTTGCAGCTGTATATTATTGGGAGATTGCTAACAGGAACAGTGAACAGCTTCGCCAGAGCACGTCTGAAGCTCATACGCAAGTCTATTTTACATTCTATGGCATAAACACCAGCCTTGCTATATCCTTCTGTATGGACGTGCATTCGTTATAAAACACTCACAAGACATTAATTTGGACAACTAGGCAGATATATTAAATATTTCACACAAAAATACACAAAGAGAGACTTTTACTTCACACTTAATCTGTGAATGAACAGACTTGCGTGTTCTAGTTGCAGACGCAGAGGCTGTTTTTGTGCAGAGTTTGGAGTAAACAATCAGAGAACAGGAGAAAGTGCATTACTTACTTACATTACAACTAATTTTAAACATATTAATAATGAAATCCAAAAATTATAGTATAATATTGAGAGTTTATTTTAAGCTATCTTGCGGCCCACCTGCAGGATCACTGAGGCCCACTAGTGGACTGCGGCTTACCGGTTGAGAATCACTGAACTAAATGTATGCGCACCAGACTGTTATAATATTAGTTCTTAAGAGTTTTGCTAGTGTTGTTAGATCAATTAGGTAGCCTTACATAAACAGTAGGAAATAAGACTCATTTAAAATGATTGAAGACCTACTAGACAATATTTCAGTGAGTTTTTGTTTTTGAAATTTAAGACGTTTTAAGACACCCTAGGTCTTGCATTAAATACATTTTAAAATTGTATTTTGCCTCTCCCCTCTTTCTTTATTTCCTCTCTGAACAGAGTCTGTGTGTGTTAGAATGCACGGGGGGGAATAAGTATTACACGTCATGTTTTCTCTGAAGGAGCTGTTGACGTGGACTTTATAAAAGTTTGGTAAAAACACAAACAATACAACTATTAATACAAACACTACAGTTCTAAACTGACAGTAAAGGCTCTGCCTGTTTACGTGCCAAAATTCAATTATACTTTAATTTCTAAAGTGCAACAAAATGTACTTGTTTAGTTCGTATTCATTTTAAGCACAAACCTGTATTACAGCACTGCTGTGCTCAACAGCGCCACCTGCTGTGTATAGTTATAACTTCAGTGTGTGTGCTCAGCATTTATATTGACTCCGTTTATGGCCAGCTAAGTGCTTTGTAGTGAAATTCAAGTAGTTTTTTTATTCTTCAAATAATTACTACTTGTGCACTCCCTTTTAATGCATATCTCTTGAGAGCAACCAGAAGTGATTTTAGACGAGGTTGAAGAAGTATGTTGGTAAAGTCTAGATCGGATATGCGGCCGGCCGGAAGTGCGATATGCACATTAATAAAGCAGCATTTTTTAATGACACTGTATAACAATAACTAATATTTTTACAGTACTGTGATGGTTGGGTTTAGGGTTGGGTTGGGGGTAGGCGTTAAAAAATACATTTGATTGGGTAATTTAATAGATAACATAACTAATACTCGGTACAACACCTGTTTTTACATTACTGTGACGGTTGGGTTTAGGGTTGGGGTGGGGGTAGACGTTAATAAAATACAACAAATGAGAAATTTAATAAATAATAGAAATAATTCGCGTTAACTTCCGGCCGCAAACGTATCCGCTCTAGCAACAACCAAGTATGTTTGTGTGTTTGTATTGCAGTGTCCAGCCCCACCAATGCTCGCAGACCCAGTCAGGATTTCCCAGGGTACATTTTGGCCATCTACAGCTCCAGACAGGTGATGGTGGAGCAGGTGGAGGCCACGTCCACCACACTCGCAGACGCCATCATCCTGCTGACCGAGAACAAGGGGGAGAGACATGAGGTACACACACACACACACGTTCTTATATCCCGGGGGGAAATTTAAGATACAGATTTTTACTCAAATTGTACTGACCTTATTCTTCACATACAAGCAAACATATTCTTGTGGAATGCCCTATTTTTTGCTATAAGATACTTTTTATCTGGAGAGACTTTAAATGTGAATCCTTCTAAAATTGTAAGATTTTTATCAAAAGTAAACCTTAAAAACACTTTTAGATTTTTATCTTATATATTACTATTATTGTTGTTTATTAATTTATTTTTATCTTGTGTATTTTTTTATTGCTGTTGATGACTAATTGTTAAGCCTGGTTTATACTTCTGCGTCAAGTGACCGGCGTAACCCAAGGCACATGCAACGCGCGTAGCTGTGCATTTATACTTCTGCGCGCTGTCTCTGTTGGTCTGCATTAACACTTCCGAAACGCTAGTTGGTAGTGAGGTGTAAATGTTCCTCTGTGTCGAGTTTCTTCGCTGCTGTTTTGGTTTTCCTGAACACTTCCGGGATGTACAAGTGGCTCAAACTCGCTCATTTTGAGGCAGGAATCGGCGGACGTGCAACAACTTTAACTATGATGTCAACACAAAACAAAATTTTCCATCCGGAGCTCCACACTTGTAAACAATCGCTCCATAAGGCTCGCACCATTCATGCGGTTCTCGGTCCCGCCCAGACTCATCAGCGCCACCAAGCCGACCAATCACAGAGTTTGCGCTACGCGTCGTTGCGACGTGTTGTTACATTTTTTCAGAGGTGCACGTCGGCGTTTGACGCAGAAGTATAAATAAGCCTTTAGAATATGTTTATAATTATAGAAAAATGCTATTTATCAAATGTGGTAAACTTGATCTCTTGTTGCCATGACATAGCCATAGAAGCTGATATGGCAATAAACCCAAATCTCTCTCTTCACATACGAGCATGTGCGGCCATTGTCATTTTTTTGGCTTGAGACTTCTGGTCTCATTCACTTCCACTGATGTTAAATCAGCTCGTTATGCTGCTTCATGTTGCAAACTGATATTTTCTTCTCATATTATTCTGCTTTGTCTGTATAGTCATGCACACACTTGTTTGTTGAGCAAGTAGTTTGCTTGTTTTCTGCCGTTTAATATTCCTAGTCATTTCTCTCGTAGGCAGCTGAATCGTAAGTTCTAAAACAAACACACTTATACTGCTTTTGTGACGTACACAGTTGATCTTCTTTTTAACAAATGGTTTTAAAAGCTCAAATGCTGCCATAAAATTAGTTCATTTTGGCAGAACGTTTTTAATTTTATATCTGAAGTATACAGGATTGATCTGTCACCAGGGCCAAAACTGGGTATTTTTAGAGACACCTCAGAAATAGAAGATCAATTTATGTCACAGGCAGTATCTTTGTGTACGATATTAGCAAAGATAATAATTGTACAAAATTGGAAGTCAGATCACGCGCCTGTCTTTGAAACCTGGATTAGGAGCTTAATTTATGTGTTGCCTATAGAAGAAATGTAATATGGGATGGCAGATAAACAAAACATATTTTTTAAAATCTGGAACCCAGTTATGTTTTATATCAGTAATGCTGACTTGTAACTCATTATAGGTGGGATTGGTTTGGCATATGTCAAGTTGTGAAGCCTACATATTTCTCTGTAATTTATTATTATTATTTTTTTTTTTGTTTCTTAAAATATTTAATATAAAATTTTTTTTTTTATGCTTTCTGGATGATATTGTATAACGTTGTGTCCGAATGTTCGTGTATTGTAAAAAGGCCTTTTTTCCCTGAAGTTTGTTCTGTTTATGTCATTGTTTATTCTCTTATGCTAAAAACAATAAAAAGATTTTTTTTTAAATAAAAATAAAAAACTCAAATGCATGAAATAATACAAATAATAAATATAATAACAAAAAAAAATAAAATAATAAAAATGGTCACACTTTACAATAAGGTTCATTAGTTAATGTTAATTAATGCATTTACTAACATGAACAAACATTGAACAATACATTTACTACTGTGTTTGTTCATGTTAGTTAACGTAAGTTAATGAAAATATAGTAGTTCATTGTTAGTTCATGTTAACTCATGGTGCATTAACTAATGTTAACAAGCATTGACTTAATTATTAATAATGCATTAGTAAATGTTTAATTATGATTAATAAATGCTGTACAAGTGTTGTTCATGATTAGTTCATGTTAGTAAATGCATTAACTAATGAACCTTATTGTAAAGTGTTACCATAAAAATAAGTATATTATATTGACACTATTTGGAGTCTATATTATTTCTGGATTATGTATAATGTATTTATTTTGCTGCGTTGATCACAATTGCAGTGTGTAATAATTATGTTATAAATGATTATGAATGATGGCTGTTTTGTTAATGTTGTGTCTTAGGGTCGGGAAGGAATGACCTGTTATTACCTGACCCACGGGTGGGCGGGGCTTATCGTTGTGGTGGAGAATCGTCACCCAAAGTACTACCTCCATGTGTCCTGTGACTGTACAGACAGTTTTAATGTGGTGTCGACACGCGGCAGCCTGAAGACCATCGACAGCGTTCCTCCTCTGCACAGGTAAACATAACAAACACACTCTCACTTCCTCTTTCTCAGGTCTTTTCTGGAAGCTGCGGTTTGTGTTACCCAAGCTGCAAAATATGTCACAAAGTTATTGCGGTAATGTTTCTCCACATGCTGTTCAGCCACTGCGTCAAGCGATAGAGACAGACACGGATGTAACTGAGGATTCAGTTTATGGATTACAGATTAAGTTTATCTGTCAAATATAGCAGGTCAGTTTATTTGATATATTTGGTGGAGTTTATTCAAGCAAATGGTGCAACAATGCACACACAAATGCCATTACAAAGTTCGCTACACCGTCACACACACATTTATTTTACACTGTTTTTGCACGTCTAAGGTTACTTGAAGCATCCTCGTATAGCCTCTATGTGGCTGTGGTGATTCCAGTGGACGTGTATACATGTTACTATAGAGACATACGGAAACAATTGATTGCCTGTCAATCAATTCAGTGGGCGGGGAAAACCACACTCCTACATCCTGTTGCGGTGGGCCTCGAAATCGCTGGGATTTAGATCCTATTTTAACCTCAGGAAATTTTAAAAAAGAGACTTGTTGTGTTTCTATCATACCAATGTAACTATGGACGCACTATTAGAGCCTGGCCCGAGACGCACAGGCTGTAGCTTATACTGTTACAGCCATTAAAATAGACCAGATTTGTATTTACTAGAAAGCTGATGTTGATTGTTTTTTATAAGAAAAATTTAGAGAAACGTTTGGAGTTGTTTTTGGGTAATGTAAGATTTAAGTAATTTTAAATAAAAGATTAATGTAAGATTTAGTTTTATATGACATTGAAATCCAAGCGGTATGTGGCCAACAATGAGTGTACTCAATTTAACCCTGTGGCGCCTGCAGCCATACGGCTGTACGTACTGCGCATACTTACCATGAGAGGGCGCAAATTAATGCTGCTTTTTAATTTTTAATTACATAATTTAAATTGATTATTAAACAGTGCACACTACAATATATTGACAAAGCAAGAAAGAATGAGAATAAATAAAGGTGTGCGTTTGTGTGTTTTAAAGCGTGTATGTACTTAGTAAGTAAGTAAAGTTTATTTATAAAGCACATTTACTTCAGTTTGGCACTGACCAAAGTGCTGAACAAAACCATAGCACACACTAAAAGAATAAAAATAACAATAAAAGTAATAACAGGAATAAAAGTATTACAGCAACAACCACAATAAACATTAAAAGCCTGGGAATGCAATAGAATAAAAATGTGTCTTAAGTCTAGACTTAAAAATAATTGCTGGGAGATGGACAAAGAAATCTATTGGCTTTAGTTTGCTGGTTTTTCCACACACTAAACATTTCAATTTAGATGGCTATAGACTGATTTCACGCGGCCGCCATTTTTAAAGGTTCAGGACACCCCGGAGAACTTTTTTTTTGTATTAACAGATGTGTGTGTGTTGAGCATCAGTTAAGACAATGTTAGCACCTGTCAGCTTTAATTGTGGGGAAAACTGGATAATTTTGAGCTTTTGTCAGCAAATTTCAGCTTCCGGGTTTAAAATGATTTTTGGGGCGGGATCAAAATCGGCGACGTAGCGCAGAACTGCAAGTGCAATGATGACGCGTCGGTTTCTCATTATTATTCATAGCGGAGTTTTCTTATCCTATGAGAAGAGCCGGCTGCTTAATTACTCATGAGACCTGCCAGTGTCAAGCCCGAGCTGAGAGACACGGAAACCCCGGCACAGTATTTAGCCGTTCATGAAGGCTCATATGCGTTTGTTTCCATCATGTTTGTTGCATGTTTTCCCCCGCGATATTGTCAGGGCCGATCATACAGCAAAGCTGTGTGCGTGCTGCTAGCATTTTTGTCGGGAGAGCAGCACGAGAATTAGAGAATGGCGGACGCTGTCTTTCATCAGGAGTTCGTTCACATTCAGACACATCGCCGTGCTGCTGTGTTTGCCTAAATCCTCCAGATTACCAGCAGGGTTAATGGTTAAAATAGACAGGTCAGGAGACCTGCTGCACTGAGTCTGCTGGATAGGGGGATTGAGGGAGAAGTCCTCATTTATAGGGTTTACATGAACACACATCTTTATAATTATATAAATTGTGGTTATGTGTATATGAAATTACGAAAAACAAGTGTAGCAGGGCATTAAATCACTGTTCATTTCTTTGCATTTTAACTTTGTAAACTATAAACTCATGCTTCTCCTCTTTGTGTCTCATTTTGTGAGCTAACTGACAACAGCAGTTATTCGCTCCCCTTCTCCCCTGCTGGCCACGCCCACTCCTGCCCGATGCTCGCGGAGCTCCACGCCCATTAATCATGCATCTTTTGAAAAAATTCTGAAGTAGACTTTAACCGAAAGAGGGGGGTGTCATGGCCCTTTAACATCGAAATCGAGGCTGCGGTGGGAAGCAACCTGGATGTATCGCCTGAGTCAGAGGAATGTTGTGTACCTGGCTGTATATCTTATCAGCGAAGAGAAAGTGACACAAATATATAATTTCACCACCATCAGAGTGACCCGAAGGTCTGTTCTGAATGAATGGTGAAAATAAAAAGGATATCAGAGCTCATTTTTAGCTAAGTTAAGGGAAATGGCACTAGTTAGCTAACGTCTTCTTTCCCAAACACGCATTTTAGATGCCATTTATCAAACTCAAGATAATTGAGTTAAATTAACTGATTGTTTTACTCTAATAGACTTGTCACGATACTAAATTTCACTACTGAAATGTAGAAAAAAAAACATCTATTTTTTTTATATATAATAAAGTATGTCCAAAGCCCGATATGCATGCTAGCTATAACATGAAACCCTGAAGACCGGCCCTAGGGACATAAAAAAAAGTCGGCCCGATGGGCTCGGGCTCAAATGCAGGGCTCTACACACAGTTCTACACACACAGCTTTCAAGAGTTGATTTTACATCATAGGTGCCCTTTAAATCACTAATTTCTAGACTAACTCACCCTTCATGTGTTGCAGGCAGGTTCTGGTGGTTCTGTCTCAGCTGGAGGGAAACGCCGGTTTCTCCATCACACACAGACTGGCTCACAGGAAAGCAGCACAGGCGTCTTTGGGCGACTGGACATCCAGTAAAGCCACACACTCGCCCCAGCTCACTCCAGACACTGACGGACTGCACAGACCACGGCCGCTTTGACACACGCTCACACACACACACACACACACACACACACACACACACACACACACACACACACACACACACACACACACACACACACACACACACACACACAAACATAAACATAAAAACACATGAAACCTGTGCTGATGAAAGCAGACACTGAGAACTACTGAGCCAATCACCGTCTGCTCACTGAGCCAAGACCCGCCCACTGCAAACACATACACACACACACACATTCATATCCTGTCAGTGGACTTCAGTTACTTTTGTGTATGTTCAGTCAGAGGGTGAATCTCAACAAAATAATTCACATGGCTCATTTCATCTTAAATCAGAAGAATGTTCATGATAATTAATCACACACTGTTCAATCATCTGCATTACATTAAAATAGATGCTCCAGATTTTAAGTTATGATTATTATTAGTACTAGTTTTAATAATATTGCGCTTTAAATTTTCCTTTACGTTCCACATTACTGAGGTTTATTCTGTCATTTAATTTTTATAATGATGCTTTAGATTATTATTAATAACATTAGTAGTATATTTCTAATAATAATAATAATAATAATTATTAATATCATTATTATTAGTTTACATTATTTCCCCTTTAAATTTACATTACCAGAATTCTTCGCTTTTTAATTTTTAATATTATCATTTAGATGCTTAATAATATTTTTCTTATTATTATTTTTATTATTATTATAGTTTCAATTAATTTACCAATAAGTTTTCCAAACAAATTAACGAAATTGTTCTCATTTAAATTTTTTATATTATGATTTAGATGCTGAGTATTATTATTATTATAGTTTCACTTAATTTACCAATAAGTTTTCCAGTCAAATTAACATAATACTTCACATTTTTAATATTATGATTTAGATGCTGAATATTATTATTATTATTATTATTATACGTTCAAATAATTTATCAATAAGTTTTCCAGACAAATTAACATAATATTTTGCATTTTTGATATTATGATATAGATGCAGAATATTATTATTATCATTATAGTTTAAATTATTTTACCAATGTTTTCCAATCACATTAACACAATTTTTCGCATTTTAATTTTTAATGTTATAATTTGGATGCTGAATATTATTATTAGTATTATTATAGTTTCAAATAATCTATTAATACGTTTTCCAATCAAGTGAACATACTTCTTTGCAGTTTAATTTTAAATATTATGATTTAGATGCTGAATATTATTATTATTATTATTATTATTACTATTATTATAGTTACAATTAATCTGCTAATAAGTTTTCCAATCGAATTAACATAATTTAAAGGATTCTCAACATATCATTTTTATCTCATGATGATTAAAATAATAATAATAAAAATAATAATTAATATTATTATTCCCCCTTTAATTTTCTCCTCAAATTCAGATCGCTGGAGCTTTTAAATTCAATTTTTAATTTCATAATTGTATTATTTAGGACTATTTTCACTCGATCAGCATTGTACTTTAATACAATATGATTTACTCTACTGCATAAAAAGTAAAACAAAACAATTTTTAAGACCGTACAACAAATCTACCAAATGTTTTTGCACTTTTCAGTAATTGTATATATTTGATATATAATTCACATTTAGAATTTGCCACAAAATATCTTTAATTCTCATTAAAACATTCAGCAAATAAATGCAAGCCTCTTCTGTTAAAGTAAACAAGAGATGTGCCAAGTGACTTACTTTTTTGAGATTTACATTCATCGCCATTCTGACAGCCAATCAGCAAACTGCTCTGGGGTCACATGTCGTGTATCATGAATAATGCTGATCTACTTGATCTTAATAGAAGGTGGAATAGACGAGGGGTCACTCATTACATGTGTAGACCATCTTTTAATTTATTTATGTCGTGTTTTAGTAAAGATGAACCTTTCAGAGAGAAGCACAAGATAAGCTGCTGGGCGAGAGCTGAACTGACTTGTGGGACTGTTCTGACCTGTGCTGGATCTGATTGGTCAATTGCTCTGCCGGCGCGCTGATATGGTGTTTGACTTTATTTTTGTGCACTGATCTTTAGTCCGCCGTCTGTGTATTTTTTATTTGTTTTTAGTTAATGTCTCCCTCTTGTTGTCTGATTTATACATACATACATACACACACACACACAAATAGTCTGTCTGTCTTTTTTTTTCTTTTTGTAAATTGTACAGCGCTGTTCCCCTCTGCACAATCCAATCTAAAGTACTCGCTGTAATTACACAGATCTCTGTCAGGCAGGAGTATAATATGTAGAATATTTTATTGATTCTTGAATGGGAGAAAAAAAAAGAAATGTATAAAAGTTTAAGATATGTACGATTCATTTGCAATCTCAGGTTCTGTTGGACCAAATGATGAATAAAGATTTTGTTTTGTTTCGATTTTTTTTAAATCAAGGAGCATCCGAGTTGCTGACTGAGTTTTTTATTTTAATTCTTGAGATTCAGAACTTCGAACTGTATTACAGGGAGTCCGCGGGGTCTTAAAAATTCTCTGTACGTGGATTACTGAATTAGCAGGATTTGTTTATTGACAATTTGACACGATCCAGGGTCGTTTTTGTACTTCCAAACTCATCCGAGAGTTGCTGTCATAGCAACAGTTCTGGTAGCTCAAACCTGCTCGGGAGCAGCGGCTTATCTCATATAAACAGGATTAGATCAGCTCATTTCAAGTAAAGTTTATACTGAAAGTTTGTACCGAATGCTGATATTTTCTTGCAGTAGTAACCTATAGATTATATACACTTGGGAAAAAAGTAAAGTGGTTTTAAAAAGTTTATATACAGTTTAAGCCTGAATTATGAGCCCCCCTGTTTATTTTTCCCCAATTTTTGTTTAAAGGAGAGCAACACATTTCTAAACATAATAGTTTTAATAACTCTTCTCAAATAACTGATTTATTTTATCTTTGCCATAATGACAGTAAATAATATTTAACTAGATGTTTTTCAAGACGCTTCTTTACAGCTTAAAGTGACATTTAAAGACTTAACTAGGTTAATTAGGATAACTAGGCAGGTTACAGGTAATTAGGCAAGTTATTGTATAACGATGGTTTGTTTGGACTATCGAAAAAAATTTATAGCTTAAAGGGGCTAATAATATTGACTCTAAAATGGTTTTTAAAAATGGTTTTCTAGAAAATGTTTCTTGATTTTAAGAATTTTTAGATATTTGGACTGGACAAGACAAAAACTTAATATTCTTAAAACTTTTTTATTTTATTTTTATTTTATTTTTTACAGTTTACAGCAAAATTACGGAAGCGTAGAGCTGCCACCCAGGTAAAAAAAAATTTGAGCTTCCGTAGTAAAAAAATTACAATAATGAATAATTTAAAAATAATTGAAATAAAAATCATGTGTTTTATATCTATCACTGTTTCCTGAGAGTGACCCAGATCCTTCATGAAAACACTTTAATTGCAGAAATGCTTTTAATATTTAATTGCCTAATTCCAGATGACATCTGATTAATTTATTATCAAACCACAGGAGTTTGAGAATCACAGTGTTTATTAAGTGTGCGAGAGTGAAATGTGGGTGCAGTAAAGTAGGTTTAGCTGAAGTCAAAATTATTCTCCCTCCTGTGAAAGTTTAATTATTTAAAAACATATTTCCAGAGTGTTACTTAATAGACAGATGTTTTAAAAATACATTTTTAAACATAATAATTTTAAAAACTAATTTCTAATAATTATTATTTTTTTGTCTTTGTCATGATGACAGTACATAATATTTTCATAGATGTTTTTCAAGATAGGAGTAATCAGCTTAAAGTCACATTTAAAGGATTTCTCAAGAAACATATTATGTCCATATTTCGTTTAGTCTTTTCAATGTTCCTGCATAAATTTTGACCATACGATTGTTTTAAAAACATTAAAAACTGCACCGTAAAATCATAATATGTAAAATGTATGGTTAAAAAGTGCATAAAAGCATTTTCTAGTTTTTTTCCTATAATGTTTAGCAATCAAATTTCATTAACATTATAATATATATACGATGCTCATTGTCATTCACACAGCTGGTAAACCCCATCATGGTGGCACACATCAAATTAAAATAATGCAATAAACGTTATCAACATTAGATGTAACATTAAACTCTAATGTACATAAATGATGAGAAAATTTAACTAAAAACAACCATAATGTCAACAATAAAGCATTAAATCAGAAGTGTTGTGCAGGAAAATTCTAGAAAAGTCAATTTTTGTTTATAAACCGTATTTATTAGCCAGGTTACAGATTTTTATTGTAGCATTTTTAAAGTTGTTTACAATTACAATTATGGTCATTTTTTTCAATGCATGTGCTTTTAATCCAGCCAAACTTGAAGGGGACCTATTATGCCCCTTTTTACAAAATTTCAAGTAGGTCTTTGATGTGTGTGAAGTTTCAGCTCAAAACACCCCGCAATAATATAACTCTCTGAAACTGACCTTATTAGGCTTTGCTCCTAATTGTGTTCAAGTTGTTTTGGTGACTGTCGCTTTAAATTCAAATGAGATTGTGCTCTTTTCAAAAGAGGGCGGAGCTACAAATGCCTGCATGTCAGCATAGTGGCAGATTCAAAAACGTTATCTATGTGAAAAACTGAAAATGTGAACAAAAGTGTGTCAAAATGTGTCCGTATGGTGACTTCATTGTTTATTTGTGCATCAGCAAATCAAAACTCTAATGTTGGACGGCTGCTTCTCACTCAGGGCTGATTATGCTAATGAGCGAGAGATGGTCACTAGTGGGCGGGGCTTTCCACCTCTGATGTCACATACAAAGGGAGAATGTCAATTCTGTTTTTATCAAGTGTGATTATAAAAAAATAAACTTAATACATTTTTACCATTAAAAGCTGGTTACATTCACAGACTTTTGCCACACAACTATGTTTAATCCGCTTGTATAAGTGATTTTTGCATAATAGGTCCCTTTTAAATAAATAAGACTTATATAATAGACTTAAATAATTAGACAAAATAATAAAAATATAATAGGAAATACTTTGAAAGTCTGTTAAACATAGGAAAAGAATAAAAGATTCACAGGAGGAGAGTTAATAAATGTATGTGGGCGGGGGTCAGAGGGAGTAACTCTAGATCCCCATCAGGTCTTGTGTGACTCTGGGGGAAGGGGATTCTGGGATTGCAGGGTAAGGAAAACCTTCAAGTAATTTGAACACGCTCCCAGAGACTTAGACCTGGACGAGCGTCAGTCTCTCCCAAAAAAGGGGATGAAAGCATGACAATGAAGGAGGTGGAGTCACTAAACAGCACATCGGGAGTCCAGCTAGTTAACAAGTTCACAAGTTCTGCTGCTTCTTTGTGACTTACATTACAACTCTTTGGATTTTTATTGTTATTTCAGAGTCCTGTTACTATGTGAGTATTATTTTTGAAGCTAATTTTAGGCTATTTTTTAAGTAATTATGTACAGTGCTGAGCATAAAATGAGTACACCCCTCACAATTTCACTTTTAAATTCATATTTTTTACAGGATGCTGTACAGTAATATATTTGTGCATAAACAATAGATTAGTAGCAAAGACAAAACTGAAACTAATCGAACTAAACTGAAGACCACAGTCCAAAAATTAGTACACTTACATTAATATGTTGGGGTAAAATATTTAATAAAATTGTAATAAACAAAAAAAAACTTAAGTTTAAATTTTATACCTTGTATTTCTATGCTTACTTTTATACTTACTATATAATATTTTATATTGATTTTATTCCTAAAGATGTTCTGTGACCAAACACTTTAATGATTTTTTTGTTTAAAAAATATATTGTTTATATTCACTGAGAAATTAATAAAAATATTCTTTTTTGAAATATTATACATTATAATTGTATAAAAAATAGTGATAAAACAGACCTATGTTCTTTTGTTTTCTTTTTCACTATCTGTCTGGGTTCTTTTTTTTACTTTTGTGGGTTTTAAATATTGACGGGTATCTGGCATATCATTTATCATGTTTGTTCACACTGTTAGTGTTTGCTTTGAGGTTAAATCTTTAAAGGTTCAAGAAACCCTCAAGTACTTTTTGTTTTATGGTGCATCCGCTGTGTAAAACATGTGCTGGATAAGTTGCCAGTTTATTCCGCTGTGGCGACCCCAGATTAATAAAGGGACTAAGCCGAAAATAAAATAAACGAATGACTGATTATACAGCTGAAGTCAGAATTATTAGCCCCCTGAATTATTAGCCCGTTTATTTCTTTCCCCAATTTCTGTTTGACAGAGAGAAGATTGTTTCAGCACATTTCTAAACATAATAGTTTTAATAACTCATTTCTAATAACTGATTTATTTTCTCTTTGCCATGATCACAGTAAATAACATTTGACTAGATATTTTTCAAGACACTCCTATACAGCTAAAAGTGGCATTTAAAGGCTTAACTAGGTTAATTAGGTTAACTAGGCAGGTTAGGGTAATTATATTTATTTATTTATTTATTTATTTATTTATTTTATTTATTTATTTATTTATTTTTATCATACTGAACTTGAACATTTGGTTTGAATATGTGTTTGTGTGTTTGAATCTCAGGAATAAATGGAATATATTTAAAATATATCATTTTTTTATTGAAAAAATATACATTTAAAATATAATTAATGAGAAAAAAATCCCTTTAACAACATTATATTTCACAATTTTATTGTATTTTTGTAAAGTTGATTTTTTTATTTTCTTAATTTTTTTTTTGTTCAAGAATCGCACTGAAATGAAACTTTTGGATGGTTTGTGTGTGTGTGTTTAATCCCAGGAATAAATATTTAACTATTTTGAAAAGGAAAACATATTATTTTTAATATAAATGTGTTTGTTAAAGATATTTTGCATTTTTGTCATCTTATTTAAAAAAAAGTGTACTTATCACTTTAAAATATCTTTTATGTGAATCGTGTGTGTGTGTGTGTGTGTGTGTGTGTGTGTGTGTGTGTAGTTGAATACATCATTTAGAATGGCCGGTCCAGTTCCAGCTCTACCAGGCTCTTTTAATCCCAGTGCGGACAGCGTTTACTCAGATCAGTTCGGTTTTTATACTATGGACTATAAAGTTCCTGGCCTTTCCAAAGTCATCTTAGACAAACTGAACATGAAGGACTACAAAGAATACAGGTGAGAAACACACACACACACACACACACTTACACACATTCTGTTGGGTCAAATGAGTGTGCAGCATTGACAGGTTGTCAATATTTCTCTTTTTTTCAGGGAAGCGCTGGAAGGCAAAGGCAAGGTGGGATTTCGCTCTCACAAAGAAATGTTTCAAAAACTAGAAGAAACCTTTAAATTCTGTGCCAGATGCTCCAAACTACCATCTGACTTTGCAGATCCTAAAGCACTTAAACGCTGCATCAAGTGAGTAAAAACGACAATAAATATCACACCTCTATGCAAAGTAAATCAGAGAGTATTCCTTCTTCCGTGGTTGTAATTATTGAAATATCATGCAATTATATATAAATCTAAACACAAGAACAATATATTTTCTGTGACAGTTTGGGTTCCTAATCTATTATTTTAATTAATATTTTGATGAATATTGGTGTACTGTATGTGTGCGTTTGTGTTTTTGTTTGTGTGTGTGTGTGTGTTTACAGACCATTTCAATGTGGTCAATGTGGACAATGTGTGTTTGTTATCAAACTATTTCATAACTAAAACAAGAGACAATTTAATAATAACCTAATGTTAAAACAGCTGTTGTAACATCATTTATCAATATGTTGCTCTTTTTTGGATTATCCGAAGCTATAGAAATAAAAAATGTAAAACAGGAAATACGTTAGGACCAATGATTTTGCTTACATCCCTTAAAATGGTTTATAGTGAAATATTATTTATGCTGGTTAAAGTGGAAAATACATTTCCTTTTGAATACTGTGTGTGTATTTTTATTTTTGAAAAACACGTGAGAATATAGTTAGTTCTAACTTTTTTTTTTTAATTTTGGACTGGTCAAAATCTCAAATATCAAAAAGTCAGGAACATATTTTTAATATTGATAAAGAATTATTATTTTAATTTCCTGCAGTATATAAAAAGGGTAAATATGCTTAAACTAACCCAAAATATCACACATTAAAAATGTTATTAACATTAAACCAATATTATAAAAACACATATAGGTTAACTTTACAACAAAATGTATAGAATAAACACGAATGTTGTTTAGCTGTATGTTCAGTTTGTTGTAGGCCTAACGTTAGACGCCATCTTGAAGATTCAAATACGAAATACAGTTAGAAAATCTGACTTTTTTCAGAAAATGTTTGAGTTTTTGTAAGAGGATATTAATATTCCATAATCATTGTTATTATATTTCTATTTTAGTTCAGTTTGCGCCCAAAATATGTGCTTTTTGATAGCGTAATTCATTTTTTATCATGTTAACTAATGATGGAGCCTCAGCGCTGTGACGACGGAACTTTCGGGAAGACAAAATTGTACCTAAACAAACCCTCACCCTCTCCTAACCCTATTATATAGTACATACAAATTTTACTACTTATAATTTAACATGAAAAGTTGAATTGTGAGTAGCCTACCTTTTAAAACGATAGTTTGTTCATGACTGATGATAACGTTCCGCTACAGGTGGCAGTTGCAGTTCTTTCTGACAACACTTGCGAGCGACAACGCGCAATAATACAATCTTACAGCGCCCTCTGCAGGTAAAAATGGTCACTACTGGTCGGGATTTTGTCAGTTCTCAGCAAAAATGAGTGCACGAATATTTTTATGCATTTCTTAGTAATTATAGGTAATATTTTTGGCGCATTTGAACAAATCTAATTTATTAAATAGATAGTTTAAACGTTTTTTTTTACTTTAATATTGTTTATATCTTTTTTTAAAGTGGCCTATGTTAGCTAGTGACCATTTCTCTCTTAAAACGAGTAAAACTATTTTTACTGCCAATATACATTTAAATAAATAATATTCCACAAATAAGCAATTTCACAATATATCAAATATTAAAACCTGAAGAATAGACAAATACCAAACATTGAAAAAATGAGTCCTTGTACAATTTGGCAAATTTATGTTGGCAGGTATATTAGACATTTTTTTATGTACAGATATTATGTACAAATTTAAACTATATTGTTAAATAAATATGTTTGTTTTTAAATAGAGTTGTTTGTCCACAATTATTATTATTCATTCATTCATTTTCTTGTCGGCTTAGTCCCTTTATTAATCAGGGGTCGCCACAGCGGAATGAACCGCCAACTTATCCAGCAAGTTTTTACGCAGCGGATGCCCTTCCAGCCGCAACCCATCTCTGGGAAACATCCACACACACATTTACACAGACACACACACACTCCTACACTACGGACAATTTAGTCTACCCAATTCGCATGTCTTTGGACTGTGGGGGAAACCGGAGCACCCAGAGGAAACCCACGCGAAACGCAGGGAGAACATGCAAACTCCACACAGAAACGCCAACTAAGCCGAGGCTTGAACCAGCGACCCAGCGACCTTCTTGCTGTGAGGCAACAGTACTACCTACTGCGCCACTGCCTCGCCCCTATTATTATTATTATTATTATTATTATTATTATTATTATTATTGGCGGTTCATTCTGCTGTTGCGACCCCTGATAAAACAAGCCGAAGAATAGTGATTATTATTATTATTATTATTATTATTTTCATTATTATTATTATTAATATTATTATTATTTTCATTATTATTATTATTATTATTATTATTATTATTATTATCAGTGCTATACGTTCTAAAGTAAATCCCACACGTAGTCCAGGCGCTGTGCACCTGGTGCTGTCTGTCTTTAGAGGGTCAGGTTGTGTCACAGTCCTCCATTAGGGTTCTGCCCTTTAAACATTATCACCCGCTTATTAACGCAAGAATCTAATGCAAGATGTTAACACCTCTGCCCGAACAACAGGAGATAATGCTACGTGCTAACCTGCTAATGCGTTACCTAAACCTCATGCTAACGCCTCAAGCAGGATTTCTGGCACTGCTAACGGCAAACTGTAAAATAATAATGTGAAAGAATAATGTGAAACAGCTTGTTCAAAATAACAAAACAGCACGTATAAATGTTGTGTATATGTGGAAAAACCAACTTGACAAAACTAAACCACAGTTTACTGCTGCTAAACATTGTGATGCTAGTAATAAAACATAGCCTGTCTTTAAACAATACAATTCACGGTATACATAATAAATTACAGGTATTACTTAATGAATGCTACAGCTATAGTAATAGTGAATTCGAAAACTTTGTTAGTTTTACTGCAGTTGTTGAAGTAGTCAATCACAAAATTAGACCTTTATAAAAAATTAAATAGAGAGCCAATAACTAATCAACCTAATTTTGTTTAAATATGGTATATGTAAACTACATAGCCACTACTAACTCACAAAAAACAATGGTTATTTTTACTGTATGATCCTTACAATGTGGTCATGCCATTGGCCCATGAACAATTCCTGCTTCTTATCAAACAATTTCATAGCATAGAGGCAATTTAATCATAACTTGATGTTATGAAAACAGCTATAATAACATTTTTTATTAATGTATGTGTCTCTTTTTGGATTCCCAGAAGCAATAGAATTTAAACATGTAAAACAGGAAACACGTTGGGACCATTTTGTTTGCATCTCTTAAATTGATCTAACCCATGATTAACTTTCATAATGATAAGCAAGAAAAAATATTATATATTATTCACATTATTTCATTATATGTTTATATATTTTTAGTATTAGTGAATTTGCACATCATTGATCTCAAATTGCCCTTTTTAAGTTAGTGTCTTGTAAGTTCTGAATGAAAATGAGACTGCAAAGATTCAACCACAGACGTTCATCTAAAAATAGCCTAAGTAATGCTGGAGGCCAGTTGGGTGTCGTCCATTTTTACTTTTATTGAACTCATTCTGTGCCTTAATCAGAACACAGCAAAATTATTTACATTTCTCCAGTTATGATCCCATGAAATTTCAAATGTTTCTTTGCACTTTAAAAAATAATTACAAAATAACTTTTTTAGTCAACTCAACTTAAATCAGTCAAACTGACTAAAATATTAAGTTTAATATTTGTGGAACTTTAAAAAAAATGTTGAAACTCGATTCTTTTATCATCAGTAAATGGGTTAAAGTACCAAAAATCATGCCTTTTTTCACATAAATTTAAATAATAAGTTCATAAAAACTACAATATCTGGTACTAAATCAATTTATGATGCTAAAATAAAAATATAATATTAAATTCAAGTGACCTTTAGGAATAGTATTTAAAATAGTAAATTATAAGTAGTATTTTTCATAATTATTAAGTATTAAGTAAATTATAAGTAGTATTTTTAATAATTATTAAGTAAAAAGTACTTGCTTGCTTTATGGATCTACTAAGACTTTTTCAAATGTCATACTGTGTGTGTGTGTCCTGCAGTGCAGAAATGCCTGTGTACAAACAAATAAAAGTGGAGTTATACAAATAAAAAAGAAATTAAATATACAAAAAAAATAATACTTAATTCATATGTAATTTCAATAAAATATTATGTAATTTAATGTATGATGTTTGATGGATTTTATTAATACAATGGCTTTTAGCTGTCAGCTGTTAAAACCCAATCCTTTTGCAAAGTTTACGACAGTCACACACCACATGATGCCGCCGCCATAATAAAAACTTAAAGTACTAAAATGATGAGGGCAGCTGCTAAAAATGGCACAGAGCGTTTTATCTGTCTGCTGAAACCTTGACGCTTATAAGTGCACTGTAAAAAATACTTGCTGCCTAACTTACATCAGTCAAACTGACTATAAATATTAAGTTAAACTTTCTATAACTATAAAAAGTTCATGTTAAATGTTATGAAATCTGATTAATATTAGTTAAAGTAACTTAAAAACATTTGCATATCATTTTTTAGGGTGCATGCATGATGTTTATGGTTTGCATGTATTGACACTTTATCATCATCTTTCCTTCATGGTCTCAGGTGTCTGAATGTGTATTACTGCAGTAAAGAGTGTCAAAAGACGGACTGGTCTTTGCATAAGAAGTTCTGCAAGATGCTCCATAAGGTCTCCATTGACAGGCTGGTGGAGTGGCTCATTCATACAGGTGAGATGACAACTCAAAATGATCTCCACGACACCTCAGAAATAGGAGACAAGCATGATATTAGCAAAGAAAGAGTAAGAATACACATTTGTTTTTTTTAATCCTGCTGAGCACTGAGTTGTGATGTTTACACAATTCTTTATAATTTATTTATTTCATTTCATCTATTTTTTCTTATCAAAGTCAAAGTCAAATTCAGCTTTGTTGTCAATTCAGCCACATGTACAGGACATATTGGGAATCGAAATTACGTTACTCTCAGACGCTAGGTGCCTAACATATAATATTACAGTTTTTCTCAGTTGCTTTGGTGCATTTCTCACTACACTATTTACATTATATTTACTTTTTCTTTTGAAGTAAGATTATTTTGCTTACCTCATTGGCAGATTATTTTGCTTGTTTTAAGGAAAAACTCACTTATTATTGGCATATTATTTCTCAAAACAAGACAATATGTTTTGCTTATCTAGAAAATTCTACTTAATTTAGGGATTATCAGATGTTTGGACTAGAAACAAGACAAAAAATCTAAGTAAGAAAAAGCATTTTTTGCAGTGCAAATGTTTTACGATAACTGGGCCCATTTGTCATATCTTCTCTGGGCCGCATTAGGCTCACATTCGCAATAGCCAGAGCTTACTGTGCCGAATATTTGCCAAAAGTGGCCCACATATGTCTTAAGATAACTGGGCCACATTTGCACTTACACATGTGAGCCACTTTAGGTTTAGACCCACATTACTCTTAAATGACGATGTCACATTTTTGCCAACTGTGGCCCACATTTGTCCTCATCATTTGGGCCAAATTTATCATTTTCTACATGGGCCACATTAGGCTCGCACTAAGATTACATTTTGCTATATGTGCCAAATCTTAGCCTTAAATAGCTCATATATGAATATGAATCTTTGGCCCCACTTTGCCTTTGTACAGGCGGGTCACTTCAGGCTCACAATTTTGTCTGGGACGAAGGAACACCACCAGTGCCGCATTAATGCCTAAAGTGGCCCACGTTTGTATGCTATCTGGGATTGTCTGTCTCTCAAGAAAGTCGCTCTTCATTTGCATGAAGTTGAAGAATTCTCAACTTTGTCGCGTTGCTCGATACGTTTGCATAGTGTTGGTGGTCCTAACAGAACGAGGCTGAAAAACACCCCTATAGGTGGTTTGTCAAGCCCACACACCTGTTTTTATAAAATTGTAAGGAATAAAAAGTAATTAGGTCAGATTTAATTTATTAATTTTTAATTTATTAATTTATTAGGTCAGATTTAAAGGACAAATCTCTAAACAAAATATGTTACACTTATAGGAGTTGTAAGCAATTCCCACCAAGTAGTAATCTGTCAATCACCCTGTGCTCCAATAGGAGATCTTCCTTTCCCTACGGAGGCGTGGTCTCGTCCTGCTAAAGATGTCAGGTGTTGGAATGATTGGTTGTCGATGCAGGGAGATCTGATGGGCCGTCTGGAGCCCATCCTATCAGGACAGAACATGACAGACCTCTGGACCAATAGCTGCAGGCCACGGCCAGATGAGGCGGAGCTTCAAAAGTCTGTATGGCGGGTTTGCAGTGAGTTCTTCTCCAGGTCTCTTACTATAGGCCTGGGGATCCAAATGTCCCGTCTGGACCCATATTCACGGCCTCTGACTGTACATTTAGTGGGTGCCGGCCACAACGAGACCCTGGGAGCCCGAACCACTGATCTGGACGAGCTCAGCCACATGTTCCCGGGGCACCAGGGGCTGGAGGTGGTGATGGTGGGGCCTGAGGTGGTCCAGGGGCCCATCATGAGGCCTCCTCTGAGGGCGTTCGGGCCCCGGGGGCGAGTGTACATCAGCGCCTACAAGGGCCTCTACCATGAGTTCTGGGAGGAGAAAGTGGAGAAAGGAGAAGCTGCTAAACCTGATCTGGTGGTGGGATTTCACCCAGGTACAAACAGACCACCACAAATCCTCCTCCAGCACATCAACAGAAATGTAACTTCTGCGATACGTATATTATTACGCTAAAAATAATTTTGTGATATATTATGCAACCCTAGTGCAGTTTTCAACCCCACCTGAAGTGGATCAGGTGGACTTTCTGTTATGGAGGACGTTTGGGACAAAATATGTTTGTTCGTTTATACGGAGCATTAATGGACCCTCCTTAAGTGGGACAATACACACTAAAACATTTTGGATGAAACACACTAAATACTGGCATTATACAGTATATGTTTCACACATACTGTATATATATATATATATATATATATATATATATATATATATATACAGTTGAAATCAGAATTATTAGCCCCCCTGAATTATTAGCGCCCCTGTTTATTTTTTTCCCCAATTTCTGTTTAATGGAGGGAAGATTGTTTTAGCACATTTCTAATCATAATAGTTTTAATATCTCATTTCTAATAACTGATTTATTTTATCTTTGTTATGATGACAGTAAATAATATTTGACAAGATATTCTTCAAGACACTTCTATACAGCTTAAAGTGACAATTAAAGGCTTAGGTTAAAAAGGCTAACTAGGCAGGTTAGGGTAATTAGGCAAGTTATTGTATAACAATGGTTTGTTCTGTAGACTATCAAAAAAAATAGCTTAAAAGGGCTAATAATTTTGTCCCAAAATTGATATTTAAAAAATTAAAAACTGCTTTTATTCTTGCCAAAATAAAACAAATAAGACTTTCTCCAGAAGAAAAAATACTGTGAAAATTTCCTTGCTGTGTTAAACATCATTTGGGAAAAATCAAAAGGGGGCTAATAATTCTGACTTCAACTATATATATATATATATATATATATATATATATATATATATATATATGTGAGCAAAAATATTTGTACGCACAAGTGTTTAGTATGTTTTGTGAAAAGTGTTTCAATGTTGTCAACATGAGCGAAAATATATACTCACCGGCCACTTTATTAGGTACACATGTCCAACTGCTCATTAATGCAAATTTCTAATCAACCAATCACATGGCATCTTCTGATGGCTACTTCCAGCAGGTTAACGCACCATCTCATAAAGCGTGAATCATCTCAGACTGGTTTCTTGAGTTCACTGTACTCAAATGGCCTCCAGAGTCATCAGACCTTAATTCAATAAAGCACCTTTGGGATGTGGTTGAACGGGAGATTGTGGATGTGCAGTCGACAAATCTGCAGCAACTGTGTGATGCTATCATGTCAATACGGAGCAAAATCTCGGAGGAATATTTCTAGCACCTTGTTGAATCTCTGCATCAAAGGATGTGAGGCAAATGGGGGTCCAACCCCGTTACTACTAAGATGTGCCTAAATATGTGGCTGGGGAGTGTATATGTACGTGCAAGTGTTTCAGTGTGTTTTGTCCCAAACAGCCTCCAATAGTGAAGTGTTGAGCTGTTGACTGGGATCAGGTGGATTTTCTCTAGTCTTCATGTCAGCCGTTCAACCCTTTGAGCGCCAGCAGGGTTTAGTTTTCATCTATAGAATCAGACAAACGAGTCTTTCGTGAGATTTTGTGTGTGTGTGTGTGTGTGTGTGTGCGTGTGTGGACAGACAGGTGCCTCTTCAGCAGCTCTAATTCATCTGTCTGGACCTGCAGTTTGACTTTTACTAGCAGAGATTCTCAGAAACAGCTGAGAGTTGAAGAGTTCACCATCAATGACCGACCACACTCACGCACTCTCTCTCACTCACACACACACGCAAGCACGCGTGCACGCACACATACAAACACACACTAACACATACACACACACACACTCACACACTAAAATAACACACACACAAACTCTGTGTGTGTATTTGTGTCAAGCTCATTCATGCATGCACAAACACCCATAGACACAAACTCATCTCTTAAAACTCACACATACTATGTCTCTCACACACACATGCTTACACAAACATAGACACACGTGCACAAATACACACTAAAACAAACACACACTCTCACACTCATATACAAGCTAACAAACACACACATATTCTCCCTCTCACACACATTCTAACACAAATACACTCTCTCTCACACACATAAACATATACACATATACAGGCTAACAAACACACACACACACACTGGCACACACACACACTTTTTTTTTTTCCCTCTCTCATTCACACACACACACTCTCTCTCTCTCGCATGCATACACACTCAAGCTCATTTATGCACACACAAACACACACACACACAGACACACACAAACTCTATTTGTCAAAACTGACACACACACGTTAACACAAACACACTCTCACACACACACATTCAAGCCAACACACTCAATATCGCACATATACACACACAAACTTAAATACACACTCTCTCAAACGCACGCACACACACACACACACACACACACACACACACACACACACACACACACACACACACAGATACACACATAAACAAACACACACTCTTTCACACACACTGGCACACACACTCATTCAAAACACTCACTCATGTGTACACACACACACACACACACACACACACACCACAGCTAATCTGAGAGGGGAGATGTACATGCTATCAATCACAAAGTGGAGATAAAGAAACCAAGACAGCGATGATCCCGCTAAAGTGTGTTTGTGAGTGATGATGTGACCGCAGCAGCTGTAAGTGTGTGTGTGTCTGAGATGTGTGTGTTTTCTGTTGTGTGTTCAGGGTTTCATGCGTCTCAGGGTTTGGGTGAAGGCTGGCTGCCCACCTTACTGCTGCTCAGAGACTTCAACATCCCAGCGCTCTTCACCGTCTTCAAGTAGGTGCAAAATACTCCAGTTACAGTCCAGGGGTCCGAATATATTATAATATACTGATAGAGGGTCGCATGGTGGCTCAGTGGTTAGCGGTGTGGCATCACAGCAGGAAGGTTGCTGGTTCGAGTCACTAATGGGCCAGTTGGCATTTCTGTGCGGAGTTTGCATGTTCTCCCCGTGTTGGCATGGGTTTCCTCCGGGTGTTATTTTTTATGTAATGTCAAACAGAAAAACACACAAACTGAAACACAAACATAGACACAAACAGACACACAGAGAGACACACACCTACACGTACACACAAACATAAACTGAAACACAAACACACACACACACACACACACACAAACACACAAAAACACACACACACACACACACACATACACGCACACACATACACACACACACAAATACACATGCCTGTACAGACAATACATTCACAAACACAAATGCAGACGCTCATAGACAGACACAGTCAGACGCAACTATACACAGACACACACAAACTGAAACATAAACACACGGTAAATACACTAAATCATACACACACAAACACAGACAGACACACACGCAAATACATACAAACAAACAAACACACATAGACACACAAACACACACACACACACACACACACACACACACACACATACACAAACTCACAAACGAAGTCTGTGAATGATGTCAGTAATTCTTTGCTCTGTTTACATCTGTCTGTTGGTGTGTGTCTGTGTGTGTGTGTGTGTGTGTGTGTGTGTGTGTGTGTGTGTGTGTTTGCGTGTATGTGCTTGTGCATGTCTCTGTCTGTCTGGTTGTCTATGTGTATGTCTGTGCGTGTTTGTGTTTCTCTGTGTGTGTATATGTTTGTGTCTGTACGTGTTTGTTTGTATATGTGTGTGTGTGTGTGTGTGTCTGTCTATCTGTCTGTCATTCTGTTTGTCTGTCTCTCTGTGTGTGTGTGTGTGTGTGTGTGTGTGTGTGTGTGTCTGTCTGTCTGTGTCTCTGTCCGTGTGTGTGTGTGTGTGTGTGTGTGTGTGTGTGTGTGTCTGTCTGTCTGTCTGTCTCTGTCTGTGTGTGTGTGTGTGTGTGTGTGTGTGTGTGTGTGTGTGTGTGTGTGTCGCAGTGATGAGGAGCTGCAGTATTCTCTTCAGATCCTCCTGGAGCTGGAGATGGACATTAAAGACTCCGGGCCAAATCCGTTCAGCTCCCAGAAGCCGGAGCAGGTCCAGTCCAGCCCCAACCACAGCCCCAGCCACTGCAGCGCCTTCTACATCTACTTCCAGGGGCTCCAGGAGACTCAGACGGAGCAAGAGGAGACGAACACACACTCATGATTTCACCATGAACTCACCACATCTATTTAAAACATTCATACAATTTCCTTTAGCTTATTTATCAGAGGTCGCCACAGCGGAATGAACCACCAACTATTCCAGCATATGTTTTAGACAGCGGATGACCTTCCAGTTGCAACCCAGTACTGGGAAATCCTAATATTGCCCACATGCTGTAAAATCAAGTATTTTTTTATGAAATATAGCAGCATAGTGGCTCAGTGGTTAGCACTGCCATCTTACAGCAAGAATGAATGAGTGTATATGGGTGTTTCTCTGTACTGGGTTGCAGCTGGAAGGGCATCTGCTACATAAAACATAAACTTGATAAGTTGGCGGTTCATTCCACTGTGGCAACCCCTGATTAATAAAGGTACTAAGCTCAAAAGAAAATAAATGAATAAATAATATAATATAGCAACATAGTGGCTCAGTGGTTAGCACTGTCGCCTTACAGCAAGAAGGTCGCTGGTTTTAGTACCAGCTAGTTCTCCCTGTATTGGATTGGGTTTCCTCTGTGTGCTCCAGTTTCCCCCACTGTCCAAAGACATACGGTATAGGTGAATTGGATAAACTAAATTGTCCGTAGTGTATGAGTGTGTGTGTGTTTGTGAATGAGTGTGTATGGGTGTTTCCGAGTACTGGGTTGCAGCTGGAAGGGCATTTACTGCGTAAAACATACAGTATGCTGGAATAGTTGGTGGTTCATTTCACTACAAATAGACTAAGCCAAAGGAAAATGAATAATATAATATAATATAATATAATATAATATAATATAATATAATATAATATAATATAATATAATATGATATAATATAATATAGTATAATATAATATAATAAATATAATAAATATAATAAATATAATAAATATTATATTATATTATATTATATTATATTATATTATATTATATTATATTATATTATATTAATAAATATTATATTATATTATATTATATTATATTATATTATATTATATTATATTATATTATATTATATTGTATTATATTATATTATATGTTTGAGTTTTTGGGCTTGCCATATTATTTCCCAGTGTACCGAGAGTATTTTTATGCAAGTACATTTAAGCAAGCAATGATCGCCCCCTAGTGCTAAATTTAGTCATGTTTTTTTTTTGTTTTTTTTTTTGTTTACTTTTTATATATTTATATTTACATGACACTATGATATAATAATATGTAGTAATTTATCCTTTGGGCTTATTGTATATGCTGATTCCTATGTCAGAATTTATGTCAAACTGTATTGTAATCTGTATGTTTGCATTCAGTTTTTTTTTTGGTGAATATTATTTATCTGAATTTATCTGATATGGAAGAAGCTTTATGGACTGTATTAATAAATGTATATGAGAAATTGAAGAAGATTGTTTGTTTATACATTTGAAAGGAAAACGTATTATCCATTCTTTGAAATTGTTACTCTATTATAAGTGTCTTTAACAGAGATTTTTTTCTTTTTTAACATAAGCTTTAATAACTACTTTAATAACTTACTACTTGCAAAATATTTTAGTATTTATTGTGCATATTAGTATTTAGTTAAAAATGCCATTTAAACGCTTATTTAGGTTATGCTAACTAGACAAGTTAGATCAGTTAGGTAAGTTATTGGACAACAGTTGTTTGTTCTGCAGCCATTTGAAAAAAAAATCTTAAGGGGATAATAATTATGACCTTAAATTATAGTAATTATGTTTTGTGTAAAGCTGCTTTAATTCCAGCCAAACTGAAAAGAAATCATATATTTTTTTCATAAGAAAAATACAATAGGAAATATGATGTGAAAATGCTATGTCTTTTCTTTGTTCAAGATCATTTGGTATGATAATGTTTGAAAAATAATGAAAAAGGGACAAGATGGCTAATAATTGTATAATACCAATAATAACATAATTTGTTTAACAAAATTAAAAATATATACTATTATTATTATTATTTGGGGTAAATTAGAAAAAATGACAAGATGGCTAATAATTTTATAATAACAATAATAAAATAATTTGTTTAAAAAAAAAAAAAAAAAAAAAAAATATATATATATATATATATATATATATATATATATAATTATTATTGAGGTAATAAAAATTGACAATATAGCTCATAATTTATTAATAAATCAAAAAGTATTATTGTTATTGTTGGGGTAATAAAAATTGACAATATGGCTCATAATTTATTAATAAATATTAACATATTATTATTATAATTATTATTATTTAGGTAATACAAAATGACAATATAGCTCATGATTTAATAATAGATCAAAAATTATTATTATTTTTATGGGGTAATAAAAATTGACAATACGGGTCATAATTTAATAACAAATAAAAAAATATTATTGTTATTATTATTATTATTATTATTATTATTATTATTATTATTATTATTATTATTATTATTATTATTGGGGTAAAACAAATTGACAATATGGCTCATAATTTTATAGTAAATAAAAATATATATTTTTAATATTATTATTATTATTATTATTATCATCATCATCATCATCATCATCATCATCATCATCATCATCATCATTATTATTGGGGGGTAAAGCACCATGTAGAAATGTTGAGACCCTGAGGAACATCTCGCAGAAGCCTCCAGAAATCTCCCGCAGGGCCGCGTGGCTATAAAAGCCCTCAGACCCCCGACCCCCGGCAGAGGCTTCACTTCATCGGTCAAACTCCAACTGTAAACAATGAACGACTCCAACAGGTAAGCTTCACGTTTCCAACTCATATTATTACTTATCATACTGCAGTCAAAATGTGTACCAAATGCTGTCAGACGCGATCACGTGACCCATTAAGTTTACGTTACTTACGCTAACACAAACAAAGCTAAGTAAACATGCTAACGTTTTTAAACGTTGTTATACTGTTATTATTATTACCCACATGAAAAATACTTCATAGTACAACAGTGTTTTGAACCATGTTATAGTAAAATATGCTGCTTGAGTTTATCTTAATTCATAGTTGCTATGATAATACAATTATAGTAATATTGTATAAACAACAAACAACCCAGGCTACTGTGTAAACCTTTTTTAAAATATCTATATAGGGTATACACCACAGTTTACTGTAGTAAAAATTAATGTATATGCTACTATTACAGTTTATCGGTTTACTAGTTAATACTACAGTTTTGTAAATATTAGAATATATATATATATATATATAGTTTAATAAATTTTATTATTGTAGGGTTCAAGACACTGTAGTATTTACTATAAAGTAGCCTACTAGAGATATTTTTTTAATGTGGGTATTGTTATTTATTTAATTAGTGAACAACATATTGAGTTTACATTTTTTTATTAATTTCTTAGTCCTATTTATTTATTGATTTACATATTTTTTGCTTGCATTTAATGACATAATATGGCTGTCTGTATGTTAACCGGTTCCGTCTCAGCTGTCACTGCTGTCTGCTGTATTTTGAGAGCGGCTATAAATAACCCAGCAGCTGCCTGTGCTTCTGTTCATTCACGTAGGCCTCTAGAATACTCTCAAATAATCAAATACAGGACAGTCTACTGTTTGTCACATTAATTCCTTATGAATTCCTGTTTTCCTGTGCTGCATTCTTCAGTAATTTTCATCATTCATTAAAAAAAATTTGTTAACCGGAGGAACACATCACAGCCAATCAGCTGATGTACAGATTAATTATGCTGAAGAACCACTGAATTCAATGTTCATCTCTAAATTATGCAGTTGTTTATTTATCATGTGTTGCAGTTATAATATATATTTTTAAATCTTAAGGTTGGATATACTGTTTATTCCATAGTTTTTCCTTCAAAGATCCATAATCATTCATTCTAATATTAATATTTAATAATAATAATATAGAAAGTAAGTTGTTATATTTTGGCTGTGTAAATACAGATACTGTAACGGCAGACAATATATACCTGATATATGCTCTCATGGCTGCCAGTAAAAAAGCAATCACACGCAAATGGCTACAGCAAGAGTGACCAACCTTAAATAATTGGATAGATGCAACTATTGAGATCTATACAATGGAAAAAAATCACTTTTGTTATTAATTTAAAGAAGGATATTTACTCATTTTCTTGTCAGCTTAGTCCCTTTATTAATCCGGGGTCGCAACAGCGGAATGAACCGCCAATTTATCCAGAACGTTTTTACAAAGCAGCCACAACCCATCTCTGGCAAATATCCACACACACACACACACTCTCACACACACACACACACACACATACTGGATATTTCCCAGAGATGGGTTGCAGCTGGAAGGGTATCCGCTGCGTAAAAACGTACTGGATAAGTTGACAGTTCATTCCGCTGTGGCGACCCCGGATTAATAAAGGGACTAACCCGACAAGAAAATAAATGAAATAATAATAATAATAATAATAATAATTATTATTATTATTATATAAATAAATAGAAGTAACATCGAATAATAATAATAATAATAATAATAATAACAACAACAACAATAATAATACTAATAATAATAATAATAATAATTATTATTATTATTGTATAAAAATAAATAACATTGAATAGTAATATTTATAATAATAATAATAATTATAATAACAAGATCAATTTTAAATCATCTGTGCTGCTTTATGTTGATTTGCAAACTATGATGCATTTTATATTTTAGAATGATTTGATGAATTTTACTATAGTCATTCATCTCAAATTGAAATGACTTTACTGGCTAGTGGCTACTATTCCTTTGATCAGTTTAACGCAGCATTTGTTTATTTATTTTTATTTAGCAAAAAGAAGTATTGAATGAGCAGATAAAGAAATTTTGCAGTTCTAAAACCACAGATATTTTGCAATTATTTTCCTTATATTTTGCCTTTTTTTGCAATTGAGCAATGATATGCAACAGATAGTGTTGCTGTAATTAGTTACAAAGTCATTAGTTACTTTAAATTAAATAAAAAGTAAAATAGCAATTCATTTACTTTTAAATATTAAGTAATTAAATTACAGTTGCTTAGGCTTACCTTAAATAAAGTTTAAATTAATTAAATAAAGACGACTAAACATGCTTAGAAAATAAAATATTAGTTGATAATATGAAATATGGGGGCAGCGGAGGCACAGTGGGTAGCGCTGTCGCCTCACAGCAAGAAGGTTGCTGGTTCGAGCCTCAGTTGGGTCAGTTGGCATTTCTGTGTGGAGTTTGCATGTTCTCCCTGTGTTGGCGTTGATTTCCTCCGGGTGCTCCGGTTTCCCCCGCAGTCCAAACACATGGGCTATAGGGGAATTGATAAACTACATTGTCTGCAGTGTGTGTGAATGAGTGTGTATGGGTGTTTCCCAGTACTTGGTAAAGGGCTGAAAGGGCATCCACTGTGTAAAACATATGCTGGATAAGTTGGCGGTTCATTCCACTGTGACGACCCCGGATTAATAAAGGGACTAAGCTAAAAAGATAATGAATGAATGTTTTTTGAACGAACTAACGTTTACATTTCTCTCTCCTGTTTTTCAGTGTTTCAGACAATAAGGCCAACAAGCCTGTAGGTTTCCGCTCGACGAAGGAGATGTTTGAGAAAATGGAGGAATCCTTTAAAATATGCGCGCAGTGTGAGAGACTCCCGTCACAAGTAAAAGGCTCACTGAAGAGATGCACTCGGTATGAGGACGACTATGATGATATTATGATCAAACTAAATGTTCTGTCTCAGTTGATCTACAGTAAAACACCTGTCTCTGTGTCTGGCGCAGCTGTCTGAATGTGTATTACTGCAGTAAAGAGTGTCAGAAGAAAAACTGGCCTCAGCATAAACACTACTGCAATAAACTGCGCATGGCGGCGGTGGACAGATGCGTCGAGTGGCTCATTTATAAAGGTGAGCTTAACTGTTTATTAAGCTTTAAAAATAAAAACGTTTTCTTAATAGTAAAAACATTAAAGGGTCGGCGCCAATAGCCTAGTGGTTAATGCCAAGTACAAATACACATAAGTACACATTAGTACACATAGCTCTTGGTGACCTGAGTTCGATTCCCAGCTCGAGGTCCTTTGTCAAACATTCCCCTATCTCTGCTCCCAACACTTGTTTATTAAAGTTGTTTATTTATACACATACATGCAGTAAACACTATATTAAAAATCTTGGTTGTAAAACATAAACGGTAACACTTTACAATAAGGTTAATTAGTTAATGCATTTACTAACTTGAACTAATCATGAACAGCACATGTACAGCATTATTAATCATAATTGAACATTTACTAATGCATAATTAACATCCAAACTCAGGCTTGTTAACATTAGTTAATGCACCATGAGTTAACAAACTAACAATGAACTACTGTATTTTCATTAACTAACGTTAACTAGCATGAACAAATACAGTGGTAAATGTATTGTTCATTGTTTGTTCATGTTAGTAAATGCATTAAATAACATTAAATAATGAACCTTTTTGTAAAGTGTGACCACATTAACTGTATCATCTGTATTAGGGATTCTAAGATTTTACAGATATTAACTCTGGTTTTCTGTAAAGCTGTTAATATTTCTTCTAAAAATGTCTGATAAAATCTCTTCCATAGTTCAGATTTAAGATATTGTCATTTACAGCTGTTTTTCTTTTCTTGTTTCTATAAAATGAAAATTAGTTGGAATAACAAATGTTTTCACTTGTCATCGTTGAAAATAAAGGTTTTAAAGGTCTTTTAAAACATGTTTTAACACATTTAAACACATCAGTTTTAATCATTTGTTATTTTTAATTTTTATTCTTGATTTTTTTTGTTCTTGTTTATCTAAATCAATTTGAATTATTATTGTGTATGAAATGTGACAAATAAATAAACGTGCCTTGACTTATTTCATCAAAAATAGATCTTTTATTTCCCCCTGAAGTTAAAACATGTGTTTTAACTAGAATCATTATTTTAACTATATATTTTAACTAGAAATTAATATAAACATATTTAAACATAGTTTTTTTCTCTTATTTTCACCATCATTTTAAATGATTATATTTGTACTCAAAAAGCATTATTGGAGATTTATTTGCAGTAACAGATTTTAATCCCATTGATCATCATAATAAACAGACACATTTGAAAAAATCCTGATTTAAAGCTTGCAGTGTTACAAAAGATTTTAAACTTTAATTAGTAGGTGCAGTCCCTCTTTTTTACATACAATCTATGAAGTATTGGCAAACATATTAATAACACTGAATATAAACATTGTAAATGTGGCTTACATTTGTCGGTGTCTGGAGTGAAGTGATGCCATGCTGCTTGGATTTCTTTCAAATTACAACATGCCGAGACCTACCGCCATTTGATTGGATGACGATCATCCACTTTCATGGACTGCAGGCTTTAAATTGGATGAAATGCTCAGAAATTACTATAAACATGGGCTGACATGATGTCCATTGTGACATGTAATGTCCAAAAAAAAAAACTTGCACAGTATTTAGCAGAAAGAAACGTGAATTATATCATAAATACATAACTTGAATTGTGAATCCAGAGAAACTACAAGTGAGCTGTACATAAAGGTGACTCATTTCTAACATCCAATAGGAGACCTTCCTTTCCCTACGAAGGCGTGGTCTCGTCCTGCAAACAAAGTGAGCGGTTGGAATGATTGGTTGTCGATGCAGGGAGATCTGACGGCCCGTCTGGAGCCCATCCTATCAGGACAGAACATGGCAGACCTCTGGACCAATGGATGCAGGCCGCGGCCGGACGAAGCAGAGCTTCGAGAGTCTGTGTGGAGAGTTTGCAGTGAATTTCTTTCCAGGCCTCTTACTATCGGAATGGGGATTCGGATGTTTAATTTAGATCCATATTCACGGCCTCTGACTGTACATGTTGTGGGAGCCGCTCAAAACGAGACCCTGGGAGCCCGAACCACAGATCTGGACGAGCTCAGCCACATGTTCCCGGGGCACCAGGGGCTGGAGGTGGTGATGGTGGGGCCTGAGGTGGTCCAGGGGCCCATCATGAGGCCTCCTTTGAGGGCGTTCGGGCCCCGAGGACGAGTCTACATCAGCGCCTACAAGGGCCTCTACCATGAGTTCTGGGAGGAGAAAGTGGAGAAAGGAGAAGCTGCTAAACCTGATCTGGTGGTGGGATTTCATCCAGGTACAAACAGACCACCACAAATCCTCCTCCAGCACATCAACAAAATTTTTGATCATCAAAATAAAATAATTAAATATATGTTTTATATTTCAAGTACATATTTCATGTCTAATATTTCAAGTACATCTAAAATCTGTAAAACAAATTTAGTTTATATATTTAAGTTTTAATTTTAATATTGTTAATAAAGTAAAAAAGATGAAATCAAATAAACTATTAAAGTAAAATAAAATACAATACAAATACTATAAATTAAATTAAATACAAATACTCGCCTCACAGCAAGAAGGTCGCTGTGTCGCTGGTTCGAACCTCGGCTTAGTTGGCGTTTCTGTGTGGAGTTTGCATGTTCTCCCTGCCTTCGCGTGGGTTTCCTCTGGGTGCTCCGGTTTCCCCCACAGTCCAAAGACATGCGGTACAGGTGAATTGGGTAGGCTAAATTGTCCGTGGTGTGTGAGTGTGTGTGTGTGAATGTGTGTGTGGATGTTTCCCAGAGATGGGTTGCGGCTGGAAGGGCATCCGCTGCGTAAAAACTTGCTGGATAAGTTAGCGGTTCATTCCGCTGTGGCGACCCTGGATTAATAAAGGGACTAAGCCGACAAGAAAATGAATGAATGAATAAAATACAATAATAAATAATTATTTAAAATAGTTGCAAATAATTAAACTACACCTAAAATTTGTAAAACTAAATATGTAAAATTAAATTTAAAATGTATTTACTCTAATTGCATTTAAAAATTCATTTAGAAATAAAGTTAGTATCTCTGCTAAATTAGTGATACCCCTTGGAACTACTTGAGGTTGTGTAAACTGAGTATATTTTCATTTTGGGTGAACTGTAACTTCTCTGAAAGATTTATCTGAAAATTTTTGGGTAGTGTTAACCCTGTGTTTGGTCAAATCTAACCACTGGGTTGTTTTTTCAATTGACAAATGACATTTAACTCAGCTATATTTTACCCAAAGTTGGGTTAATACACTTCATAGTAAACTTCAGAGTGTATTCGTCACAAACAACTCACTTTAGGTTACAGCAGCAACATATGACAAATTACATCCACTTTATAAAAGCACAGATTCTTCTGTTTATACACGTAAAACAGTATGTTTGAACTCTTATTAATTTTGAATGTTATTTTCAGGGTTTGAGGGACAGGAAGTGAGTCAGGATTGGTTTCCGACGCTCTTGCTGTTACGAGATTACAACATCCCGACTTTAATTACCATGATCAGGTAAGTTTGTTTCACAAAAGCATGCAGAACAAATGATACACCATATCTGAGAATTGTAGTGTACAATATATAGTTTCAGCGTCGATATTGTGCTGAATGTGCGCATCTGCAAGAAAAGACAGTGTCAAGTTGGGATCATTTTTGACCAGGAGCAACAGCTGAAACTTATATGTTTTGTGTAGTCACTATAAAGTTGAATTACAGAGTTTTCAAAACATTTATCATTTGCTTTGGTTTTGGAGATCTTATATGCAAAAATCACTTTTAAACACAGTTGTTTGGTGACAGTTTGTGAATATAGGCAGCTTCTAATGGTTAAAATTAATTAATTATCTTTTTAATAATCACACCTGATTAAAACAGTCTGCAGAAACACTTTGACATTGACACATTTATCGATCTATCCATCCATCTATCCATTCATCCATCTGTCTGTCCATCTGTCTGTCTGTCTGTCTCTCTGTCTGTCTGTCTATCTAATCCATCCATCCATCCATCCATCCATCTGTCTATCCATCCATCCATGGATCGATCTATCTATCTATCTATCTATCTATCTATCTATCTATCTATCTATCTATCTATCTATCTATCTATCTATCTATCTATCTATCTATCTATCTATCTATCTATCTATCTATCTATCCCATCCATCCACCCACCCACCCACCCACCCACCCATCCATCCATCCATCCATCCATCCATCCATCCATCCATCCATCTATCTATCTATCTATCTATCTATCTATCTATCTATCTATCTATCTATCTATCTATCTATCTATCTATCTATCTATCTATCTATCTATCTATCTATCCACTCACCCACCCATCCATCCATCCATCCATCCATCCCATCCATACATTCATCTATCTATCCCATCCATCCATCCATCCATCCATCCATCCATCCATCCATCCATCCATCCATCCATCCATCCATCTATCTATCCCATCCATCCACCCCTCCATCCATCCATCCATCAATCCATCTATCTATCTATCCCATCCATCCATCCATCCATCCATCTATCACATCCATTCATTCGTCTATTTATCTATTCCACCCATCCATCTATCCCTTTCTCTCTCCATCTATCCTCAGTGAAGCGGAGCGTCAGAGTACTCTTCATATGTTCATGGAGTTGGAAATGTATGTGAAAGACACCGGCTCGAACCCCTTCAGCTCTCTGAAACCTGAACAAATACCGAAAAGCCCCAACAAATCGCCCATTTATGCAAACGCTCACTACATTTCTTTCCAAGGACTGCTGGAGATTAAAGAGGAGGAAGAGCAACACTAATACTGCATATTTTACAGTTTTCCTCAGTCGCTTTGGCACATTTCTTAGATCAAGAATTGTCAAGACTACCTGTTCAATCTTCACATCATTGTGCCACTTCTGCACACTGAAAAAGCAGTTTCTCATTTCTTTGAACAAGTGGCATATGCTTTGGTACTACGATTATGTACAATTATCTACTGTTTCCTACATTATTGAATGCTTATGCCATGTTGATCAAAATGTATTATAATGGTTTCTGTCTGAATAGTCTCACCCCCACAACATTTAGGCATTGTTTGATCAAGGTGCAGCTGAACTCTGCAGAAAGGGAGATCTCCTGGAACAGGTTTGGCCACTCCTGCTATAATCGCCAAGGTTAGAAATCTATGCAAAACCGAGCAAATAAACTGATATATCAATTTGTCGTTTTAAAGGGGTGGTCAAGAGTGTATTTTAAGGCTTGGTTGTGTTTATAAGAAACAAAGCAATGTTTGCTCATGCTTTATTTGTAAAAAATCACTTTATTTTTTTACAAGTCTTACTTTGTTTATAAACAGCTACCAAAGAGCTTAAAATGACCAAGAGGCGACACTCTAGTGTAATTTGGGAAACAACCACTACTCCAAAACAACCACTACTCCAAAACTCCATTAGAACAACAGCATATTATTAGTCTGTAAAATAAACTATTAATAGTGCCGATGATTATAAATAAATAAATAAAAAACAGAGCAGCTGCTTGCCATTGCAACAGTAATGAGATCCAATGGACGGCCAATCACTTTCACTCCAAAATGGCGGAATCCGGGGCTGTTGCTGGGCGCTGCTGTTGCAATGGAACGTTCTATTGAGTGTCGCCTCTTGGTCATTCTTTGCAGCTACTCAGCTAACATGAAAACAACTGTCATATTTCCTAGTTTCTCATAAAGCCCGCCCTCAAGAGGCTCTGATTGGTCAGCTAACATAATGTGCTGTGATTCCACGTCACCAGGAAGCGTCACTTTATTGATGGTAATTGTTTACATGATATATATAAGTCTGCTATTCTGTTACTCACCGTTCACTTGTCAAAATCCTGTTTGAGTTTCTTTTTTCTGTTGAAGACATTTAAAAATATATATTTTAAACTGGCAACCGTTATCTTCCATATTTGATTTCCTCCTATGGAAGTCAATGCCCCCATAGTAAAATTTCTCCGGCCCAGCTGTGGCCCACACCATCCGCATTTGCTTGGCCAACATGCCGCAGTGAATTACGGTACATGACTGGACCAAGTCTGGCTTCCATACAAGAGGCAAACATGGACCACATCTGGGCCTAGTCTCAGCCTAGTTAATGACCCATACTTAGGCCTGAACTGGGCCAGATATGTTGATGTGTCGCGACTGCAATGTTTTTATAAACCCTTGAAGCATTTCGCTTTATGGCTGTGCTTTTTCTTGAAGTGACCCGATTAACAGAATTTTTTCTTTACTAAAAATTAATTTTAATGTATTTTAAAAGTGGGTCAAGATAGACCAAACTTACGTGGCCCACATATACATTTTAACATCTGGGCCAAATACTACATTTGATATCTGGCCCAAGTCTTGAGTGCCACCAGTAAGATGGTGCTACTTCTGCCAAACCTGGGCCATGGGCCAGAATTCTGGGCCAGAATTCTTTGGTACCTGGGTCCCACATAGCAAACAGACTTGGCCCAAATGTGGCCTCACTATGGCACTGCTGGCGTGTTGCCGGCACTGGCGCTCATAATGTCAGCCGAATGTGGGCCATGCATGGCAATGATGGCACTGCATGCATGACGGCAAACTACATTTGGGCCAGGAGGTGTGTGGCCCAGATTAGTGTAGGGAATGTTCACATTGTTTAGGTAACATTAGGTTGGGTTATGGCTCAGTTTTGGGGGTTTCTGGTTAAATGGTGGTTGATATGGTTAACTTATAGCTGATAATCGGTACCAATAATAAACCTGTTTTGGCCCAGTTAAGGGTAGGGCCAGATGGAATCTGCGGACTTTTTTGCTATTACTGCAGAGAATTTTAGTAAAAGTCTCCGGATTTCTGCTGAATTATTTTGGGGGTATCATAACTCAGTGTTGCCAGATTGGAAATGTCAAAGTATCGTACCAGTATCGTATTTGGAGTATCGTATTTGGAGGAAAATTATTGTTCACGAGTCAAACTGAGAGTATACAACTATTATCTAGACACATAGCGTTTTGACACAACGAGCAAATTACCACAATACGTTAAAAAAAAACTAGGTACCTTAGTGGGAAGGTTCAAACTCCACCTCTGAGTTGCTGTCATTGAATGTTGCTAGATGTTGAGGGATTTATTTTTCCGTACAAATTGGATGCCGTAATGGACTGCAAAATAGTGCTGGTCGGCTTGAAAGCAGTGCACACTCTGGTGTGCATGCTTTGTATTGATGAGACTAACTTTGAAAAAACACGTTCACAAGACGCATTTGAATGGGGAAAAACGAGAACATCAAGGGAAAACTCCCATCCTTCTCACCTTCCTTTACAGCATGAATTGTTTTAACATTATTGCTTAAAAGATCGACCTCAAACTGAAAACTACTGACCTAACCACGGGCACGCACAGCAGGAGCGTTAACTCGTGAGAGAGAGAGCCATTCTCCACGTTGATTGACTGAGAAGAGGCAACGTAAGATGAGATAGAAAACGTGCCTATACCTAACTCCACCTACTCCTCACAGACAGCACAGAAAAGATGCAGCTAGATCAATAAGTAAAAAAGCCCGAAGATTACAATTAAGTTACTTTTAAATGCCATAAAATTCTGAAATTATCGTACAATATAGGATTTTTCTCATTATTGATCGTACATCGTACAGAGGTCGAAATTATCGTACAAATACGATAATTATCTTACGTCTGGCAACACTGTCATAACTAAACCTTAATATGTCAAATAAAAAGTAATACCTTTTTTCAACTTTTATTTAATGTTTAAAATGCAAATCCAATTAGATTGACTTCATTTGGTAAACAAAGTCGCGCATATGATATATCTACAAAATGACAGAAAATATTACTGTACACACTGCATTGTAGATAAATCAGATGAATATTTACATATTAGTCCATTATATCACTGTAATTAATTTTACAACTGAATAAATATAGATTTACACACATTTACTTAAGTAAATAGACAGAATTAATGATGAGCTAAAAAACAGCGGATTTCTGTGCGCACAGATTCCATGTGGGCCTAGTTAAGGGTAATAAATTGGGTGTGATTCGGACCGGTTATGGCCCATGTGTCTTTAATCCAGTTATGGGCCACCTCAGGACTGCACTCTTTGTGGTACTTGGGCCGAGAGAAAAGTTATTGTGTGGCCCGGAGCTGGCCCAGAAAGCATTTGCTATGTGGGGTGGTTACTAGTTTCTAACATTCTTCAAAATATCTTCTTTTGTGTTCAACAGAAGAAAGAAACTCATAAAACTTTGGAACCACTCGATGGATAATAAACAGTAAGTTAAATTAATTTCTGGGTGAACTATCCCTTTAAATATATTCAGTTTATTTTCCTAATGCCAATCCATTTCATTTAATTCCAATGCATGTGCAGTTGGTCACTTGTATACATTCACAATATTGAACAAATTCTTCATACATTGAATTTCTATACTGAAGCTAAACACAATCAAACATCTGATGATGTCTCTGAAATATTAGGGAAAAAATAGCTCGAAAACCTGTTGCTTTTCAAAGCGATTAGTTGCCTTTATCTAAAAATAGTAAGAAAACACCTTTCCTTAGATAATAAACTACAATCATAATTATAAAAACCTTAACAGTTTCAACTTACAATGGTTTTACATAAGTTTTTAAAGTAAAATCAACTTGTAGCTTTGAAGTTACAACAATTTTACTCACTTTTTTAAGTAGACTCAGCTTGTCGCTTTGAATGCATTGAGTTTACTCACTTTTTGAAGCACCTAATCGCTTTTTACACTGTACGTCTACCTGTTTTTGTAAATGACAATCAAAATCAAAACAAGGTCTGCGATGTACAATCCCAAGTTCACATAAGTCAGTATTGTGACCATGTTGAGGTCATGAAGGCGATGATCCTGGTTTTTAGAGTCTCTTTTATGTTGTTTATATCCGATGGCGGGCCATATAATGGCTGCAGATACATACAGAACCACAGCTATAATGTCCAACACCAGCTCCAGCTTACTGAGATCACAGCATCGCAGCAGATCCACACACTTCTGCAGGTGAGACGGCATCACCACTACTGTTGGAGGAAAACACACCACGTACACCACGATGCACCAGATCAGACCTGGAGGCCGGAATTGGTTTTCGACTCCTCTGAAGTAATTGTATATTCCGGTGAAAATAAGACAGGCCACAAACGCCTGGCTGAAGCGCAGGATGCCTTGAACGTTGGATAGATAGCCAGCAGGACATTTGAGTTTCAGCATCACAGCATCGACCGTGTACGCAATAAACGCAAGGATGGCAAAGATGGCGCAGATGATATCAACAATGCATGTGGCGCAAACAAAAACGATGCAGTAGATGAGACACGCGGACAGCAGCATGACGGAGCACAGCAGGGTCAGTCCACAGGAGAGATCGTCCCATGTGTGTTTCAGCACAAACAGCTCGATCAGTTTAGCAAGCAAAAACTTCTCAACCACCAGGATCACCACGGCCATGATGAGTGCGAATGCCCACACGAATTCACACCAGATCCCGTATGGGCTGTACATGGGGCCTCGAAACATGGGGACGATCAGGGCCACTGCGCAGAAGATGATCTCTAAGATGCGGAGCACAAGAGGCAGACTCAGTCCAAACGGAGGCATCGTGCTTCGTATGATCCTGAAGTGTATGTGAGTGACTGTGCACAGGTGGTCAGATCATTAAAATGGCTTGATTTACATTTAATCTGCCAATAAAATATTTGCACACAAGATATATTGCTGTGTGAGTGTGTGTGTGTGTGTGTGTGTGTGTGCGCTTCTCATTATTCAGTTTGATTTTCAGTTTTAGATCATGGTTTCTATGGGGCACCGGAGATGTGGTGTTCCTTAATAAAGGGGTCAAAATCTCTGGGGGGGGGTATCTTTTCAAAAGGTACATGTTATCATCAAAAATGTACAAATGTGTACCTCATACCTGTAGTACTGTTAAGTTGCAAAATTGTAACCAAAAGGTACAAAATGGCAACCTTTTGAAAAGGAAACACCTCAGTGACAGGTTTGACCCTTTAAACGTACTATAGTACATTTAGGGTACACTTGTGTACCTTTAAGGTACTTTGAGGTACACATTTGTACTTTTTTTTTTACCTGTTGTTGTTTTTGTTTAATCATAATAAAGTACACTTTACAAAAGTGAGAAAACCCTTAAAGTAATGAAATGAATCACTTTAAAACCAATAGGTTTACTCTCAAAAGTCCACTGATCACTTTAAAACCAATGGGTTTACTCACTTTTCTAAAATAAAAGTCCATTGATTACTTTAAAACCAATGGGTTTACTCACTTTTCTAAAATAAAAGTCCATTGATCACTTTAAAACCAATGGGTTTACTCACTTTTCTAAAATATAAGTCCACTAATCACTTTAAAACCAATGGGTTTACTCACTTTTCAAAAATAAAAGTCCACTAATCACTTTAAAACCAATGGGTTTACTCACTTTTCTAAAATAAAAGTCCATTGATCACTTTAAAACCAATGGGTTTACTCACTTTTCAAAAATAAAAGTCCACTAATTGCTTTAAAACCAATGGGTTTACTCACTTTTCTAAAATAAAAGTCCAATGATCACTTTAAAACCAATGGGTTTACTCACTTTTCTAAAATAAAAGTCCACTAATCACTTTAAAACCAATGGGTTTACTCACTTTTCTAAAATAAAAGTCCATTGATCACTTTAAAACCAATGGGTTTACTCACTTTTCAAAAATAAAAGTCCACTAATTGCTTTAAAACCAATGGGTTTACTCACTTTTCTAAAATAAAAGTCCATTGATCACTTTAAAACCAATGGGTTTACTCACATTTAAAAAAAAATAGAAGTCCACTGATCACTTTAAACTAATAGGTTTACTCGGTTTTTAAAATAAAAGTCAACTAATCGCTTTAAAACCATTGGGTATACTCACTTTTCAAAAATAAAATTAAACTAATCGCTTTATACCAACAGGTTTACTCAGTTTTTAAAACAAAAGTCCACTGATCACTTTTAAACCAATTAGTTTACTCTATTTTTTAAATTAACATCAATTAATCACTTTAAAGCCAATGCACTGTAAAACCTAATAGTCAACTTTATCAGATGAAATGAGTGTAGCTAACTCAAAATTGACTGAAAGTTAATTCTACTAATTTGGAAAGAGTTTTGAACTCAGTGTTAAAGGTAATGAGTTAATTAAATACCTCATTACTTCAGCTTAAATGGAGTAAGTTCACAATACTCATATAGATTAGTTTTTAACTCAAATGGTTTACAGCAATACATTTCCTCAAACGGTTTGAGTTGCCCTAACTTATTGGGTTTTACAGTACTCAGTTGGTTTGTGTTGTCTTCATTAATGAATTTTACTGTGCTCAAATTGCTTCATTTACTCAAATGAATTAAGTTCACAGTTCTCATTAGGATTCGTTTTTGAACTTAAATTGTTTGTTGCAATCTTTTTCCTCAAATGGTTTAAGTTACCTTAACTTTTTGGGTTTTACAGTGTGGGTTTACTCAGTGTTTAAAATAAAAGTCAACTAATCGCTTTAAAACCAATGGGTTTACTCACTTTTCAAAAATAAAATTAAACTAATCGCTTTATACCAACAGGTTTACTCAGTTTTTAAAACAAAAGTCCACTGATCACTTTTAAACCAATTAGTTCACTCTATTTTTTAAATTAACATCAATTAATCACTTTAAAGCCAATGCACTGTAAAACCTAATAGTCAACTTTATCAGATGAAATGAGAGTAGCTAAGTTTTTGAACTTAAATGGTTTGTTGCAATCGGTTTCCTCAAATGGTTTGAGTTACCTAAACCTTTTGGGTTTTACAGTGTGGGTTTACTCAGTTTTTAAAATGAAAGTCAACTGCTTTAAAACCATAGGATTCACTGAGTTTTTAAAATAAAAGTCAAATCGCTTTAACACCAGTGGGTTTACTCACTTTTTCTTTCTAGAATAATACGTTTTTACATTATAAAATAGTGTATACTTAATATACATAACTTATGTACATAATACTGCACATTTTGATACTCCAGGACACACCTAATACACCTAACGCCCAAAATAACAACAACACAAATGTTAAATAAATCTTTATTTTGAACAATCAAGCATTTTAAGACAGCAAAAATCAAATATAAAAACTACTTTCACTAACTGACTATGGAATGAACATGAAAACATAATCAAATTAACTACATAAACATGTGATGGCTTCAAAAACATATAGTTCAACCCTTTATAAAAGAAAATCTCCACTTAGAAATGAATAAATAAACTGATTCTTTAACACCAACCCTACAAAACCCCCTTTAGAAATCTTTAGTGTGCATTTACTGAGTGATTAAGAGTTAAGAGCGTTTGAATCCACAGATACCGAGGCAGGTAAACACCAAGTCAATGACGTACAAACCCAAGTTAACATAAGTCATGAACGTGACCACAAACTGGATGCTCCATACGCAGCTGTTCCCAGGACAGTCTTTAGGCCGCGGGTTTCCTCTGAAGCTGTAGATCGGCCACAGGATTGCTGCCGAAATGTAAAGCAGAACTGAAATGATCAAGAAGAGCATGGTTAAACGGTCAATGCTGAACGGCAGGCAGTTTTTGATCTTGGTCAAGATGTTGGTGATTATAACCAGTAGAGTCAAAGGCAAGGGAACCACATAGGCTACAATACACCAGATTAAAGCAGGTTTACCGGTGTAACCGATCAATGAAATGAGGATAACACAAGCAACGAAGGCTTCAAGTATCTTCAAGAAGCCTGGAAGTGCGGCCACGTACGTCGCAGATCTTGACGAATCACATTTGTCCTTAAAAGTCTCCACTGAGTAAAGCACGCAACACACTGCTGACAGAATAGAGACCACCCAACCCCAAATGCACTTCCGGCATATGTAGAAATTGGCCATCGTGACCGTGCAGGAAAAGTTGCAGAGCGCCGCCATCATGGCCATGCCGGTCGTGAAGTCATCCCAGTCCATGCAAAACACCAAGATCAGCTTGTGTATGAGGAACATCTCTATTATTGTGATCAGCAGCGTGAGGATCGGACACAAACCCCAGATTACCATGCTGTAGATCCAGTAGGTGTGCATGGGGTGACCCCAAATGTAGCCCACCACAAACGTGACCCCACACATCACGATCTGCGCCATGTGCAGGAAGCTACGCGAGCTGGTCAGGGTGGACAGAGAGAATTTCGGCTTCTCCATCTTGAGGTGAAGTCAAGGAAATGATGGAGCGGTGTGTAGTGGCTCTTCCAGAAGCGTTATGAAAAACAGATGCTGTTAAAGGAAGATAAAAGTGTGTATGCAAAAGACACCGCAACCGTCTCATCATTCCCAACGCTCCACCTCATCATTATCAGTCAAAGTGAACACTTTATATAATGGCATAATGCGACAGCAGTGCATTCATTTATCATTTCCAAGCAGCTTCATAATGATAAATGAGTGCTCTGTAAAAATGTTGCCGAAATTAAGTTAACAATACAGTTTTTCTCAGTGGCTTTGGTGCATTTCTCACAACACTATTTACATTTGCACAACAGTTAATGCATTTCTCAAAACAATTAGTACAAACTGCAAAACCTAGATGATAACCTGCAAAAGCACGTCACTTGCTGAAAATGGAGAGCCCATTCCTCAAAAGCAAGTATTGATGTCAATGAAAGTGTCAGTATCATCAAGATAAAAAGTCCTGCCGCCATTGTTTATGAACAAGATAGTCAAATGGCTATGTCCTGTTTTCATCATGACAGGTTACTCTGGATATTTTTTTCAATGCAAAAAAGTCAGATTTTGGTGACTCTTCCTGAAAATGCTCAAGACAGCACTATATTCTGCTTGCACAGCCATTTGAAAACTACAGTAAAGTTGGACATCACTGCATTTAGTGAGGCATCTGAGTACAAGACACAGAATGTTTCACATTTTTACTGCATTTGCTCTTTGCAATTCTAATTTATTCACAGCATTGTGCAAAAGAATAAACACACCCTTATTAACAACAAACATACACTCCCTTTGGGTAGAGCTGTGCACAACTGTAAACAATATTGCAGTACATACTGGAACTGAACCTGCAACATACACAGGTCTGTAAATCATTCATCAAATTTCTCAATTTTAAAGACATTTTCAGGAAAATAAAGATTTAAATTTGTTTTTAAAAGTTTGCTCGACAGATTTGAATAACTAGTTCATAATTTTTGTATGTAATGACTCAAGTAATGAAATGAGAACTATTCGTTTATATGGAATGACTATTCAGCATTTACAAGTTTAGCTAATTTTGACTAATTGTTTTAAGAAATGCATTAACTGTTCTGCAAATGTAAATAGTGTTGTGAGAAATGCACTAAAGTGACTGAGGAAAAACTGTATTCACAGCATTGTGCAAAAGAATAAATACACCCTTATTTACAACAAACATACCCCCCCCCCCCCCCCCTCTGGGGTCCTCATTTAAATCTGCGACGTCCCCCACTGGTCTTCACTTTTGTCCATAATCCCGCCGCCCTTCTTACTTACATCCACGACCAAAACAAGCCCCGCCCTCTTTACTTACGTCCACAGCACTCCACCCACAATTTCGTGAAAGGTTGTCAGAGGGCCCGCTTTTTACGCAGCGAATGCCCTTCCAGCTGCAACCCAGTACTGGGAAACACCCAAACACTCTCATTCATACACTAAGAGCAATTTAGTTCATCCAATTCCCCTATAGCATATGTGTTTGGACTGTGGGGGAAACCGGTGTCCTGACTTTTTATCAGATTATGCTACCAACACTGTATTTGAATGGTTCTGAGGTTGGGCTTAGGCATTAGGCAGGTTAGGGCGATATTACAGCTTGAAATCAAACTACAATCTCCACATTAAAATTTTCACTGGTAGCAAAATCTGATGGGCTGCATACTGCTTCATCAAAATGTGCTACCTACTTTTTAAATGGGAGGTTGGACAATATGACAAGGTAGGACAAATCGACAGAACACCAGAGCATCCGGAGGAAACCCACACCAACACGGGGAGAACATGCAAACTCCACACAGAAATGCCAACTGGCCCAGCCGGGACTCGAACCAGTGACCTTCTTGCTGTGAGGCGACAGTGCTAACCACTGAGCTCCCATGCCACCCATGATTTGTTTTTCTTCTAAATATCTATATAAATATGTCTTGAAGAAAATCAGATTTTATTATGAACAGAAATCCTAAATGAGTTTTATTATGCAGTATATAAATATAAGCATAAATTGAGTCTTCTGAAGCAGAAACAACTCTGATCAGAGCTTAGCAAGAACCATCCCTTGCTGTTAGATAATCATTTAAATAATGAAGACACTATCAGTCTCTAGTCAAAGATGTTCTTCAGGTGAAACTGTACAGCATTGTGGAGAATGAGCTCACGAAGGAGCAATGGAGGAAAACAGTCCAGGTTGTGAATTTGAACTTTATATTGAATTTTAATTTAATGTCAACTTAATAATGAATTTCAACACTACAGTTTGATACTGCCAAGCAAATAACAAAGTGACAGTCAAATATAAGCAACTGTTGTGAAATATTTGACTATCACCCCCCTTCGATTTCATTGTCCTCTCCAGCTGTCGTTATCATTTGACTAACATTTTAAACTAGCAGCTATAGTCCTACAGGGTGAAACATGTTAGTTAACAATTTTCATATTTTGTGATTCACAAGTGTTTTCTGTTGATTTACGGTTGTGAATTGCATTATGGGATGTTGATGTCCGCTCTGTCGACTTTTAATGTTGAAAACTAAACTCCACAGTTCAATAAAGTGACTTTTATTGACCATCATTCATTTTCTTCTTGGCTTAGTCCCTTTATTAATCCGGGGTCGCCACAGCAGAATGAACCGCCAACTTATCCAGCATGTTTTTACGCAGCGGATGACCTTCTAGTCACAACCCATCCCTGGGAAACATCCACACACACACTCATACTCATACACTACGGACAATTTAGCCTACCAAATTCACCTGTACCACATGTCTTTGGACTGTGGGGAAAACCGCAGCACCCGAGGAAACCCACGCGAACACAGGGAACGCAAATGACCTAGCCAAGGCTCGAACCAGTAACCTTCTTGCTGTGAGTCGACAGCACTACCTACTGCGCCACTGCCTCGCCCTACTTTTATTTACATTTTAGTAATAATATAATGTTCATGAAATAATATCTAGAGAAAAAATTCTGTCAAATCACAGAAAATGTGATGGCAGTTTATTACAAGGAGTTTGCAGCGTACTATACAACACCAACCCAGACCATATAGCACTTTACACTGCTGAAAATGTTCATAAAAGTCACTTTTTCAAAATTTTCAAGGTTAAAAGTTGTTGAATGAAAGATCAAGATCCCATAATGCAATTCAAAAGCGGAAATTAATGGGAAAAATAAAAACATGAATCACAAATACTGCTCATTTAAAGAGATTTGTTTACACAGTGATGTCTATTTTAGCCTCAAATGTGCACTGAAAAGCATCTGTAGATGTTTGCAGCCATACTCGAACTTGAGCAATGGTTTCAGTGTGTTAAATATATCATTCATTCATTCATTCATTCGTTTTCTTTTCGGCTTAGTCCCTTTGTTAATCAGGGGTCACAAACATTATTAATTCACACACATCATTAATTCACACACATACACTACGGATAATTTAGCTTACCCAATTCCTCTATAGTGCATGTGTTTGGACTGTGGGGGAAACCGGAGCACACGGAGGAAACCCACACCAACACAAGGAGAACATGCAAACTCCACACAGAAATGCCAACTGACCCAGCTGAGGCTCGAACCAGCATCCTTCTTGCAAAGGCGACAACGCTACCCACTGCACCATCACGCCGCCTGTCAGTGTGTTATACATATCATAAATATATAATCTTCAATTGAACATGAGTAATCAGATATTCAAGTGGAGCTGCTTTCCTTTTGTCCTCCTCATTAGCCATGCATTATCATCATGCATAATCCATGCCCAATTAAATTACTAGGATGAACTGCTTGTGAACCACATCTATATTTTAGTCTAAAAATGAAAACAAACTTTCATGAAATGCACAAAAAATACCAGTAAAGAAATCTGTATTAAGCCTGTGGCGACCACTGATGCTGTACTCGCTTCAAATGTCATCATTCGATTAAATGGGCGTTAGCAGTGGTTATCAGCTGATAGATATGGGCCAGTAGGGGCTTTCTGCACCTATTAGTAGGCTCAGAAGGCTGTAATCATCCATTCACATGGTTAATTAGCTAGACTAATAGAGAAGACTCCAGATGGAGATCTGTTTTTATATTACTGTGACTGGTGGGTTTAGGATTGGGGTAGACACAGGAGCGGATTTTGCGTATGGAGCGCCCTAGGCAACCCCAGCCATGGGACCCAAGTCCTGATGCACTCTTTCTACTTTTATTTAATGATTATTTATTTTGATGTTTATTTCTTATTGCTTAATTTTTTTGTTTTATCTTAATACAGTCTTTACATTTGAATGATTCGTTTTCTTAAAATGAATTTACAATGAACAAATAGTATATATATATATATATATATATATATATATATATATATATATATATATATATATATATATATATATATATATATATATATACATACATACATACACACACACACACACACACACACACACACACACACACACACACACACACACACACACACACATATATATATATCAATACAGTCAAATTTATAAAAGAAAAAAAAAAAAATATATATATATATATATTATTTTTTTATTTATTTTTATTTTTTTATAAATTTGACTGTTGGAATGCTCCATGATCGGGGTGGTGGATATATTATTTTAAAATATTATTTATTACATAACATTACATTATTATAATAATATTATATTTTAGTGTATATTAAATAATATTTAATTATGTAAAAAATTCTGTCTCTATACAAAATATGATAGAAAATTATGTTATAAATAGTTTACAGTTCAATTTATACCTTCAGATATTTATTAGGGGGCCCCCAGATTTCATGGGGCCCTAAGCAGCTGCTTACCTCTCTTATTGGTTCAATCCGCCTCTGGGTAGACGTTAATAAAATACAATCAATGGGATATTTAAAAAATAACAAGCCATAAGTGATATATAGCTGATTAATCATGTGGATGGATGATAACAGCTTTCTGAGCCTACCAGTATGCACAGAAGGCCCCTACTGGCACATATCTATCAGCTGATAACCTCTGATAATGCCCATTCAATCAAGTGATAACATTAGAATCAGCTGGAATCTGGATGAATATTGGACTAAGGAAAATGAACGAAATCTGAAACACTTTTACATATTTTGTATTAAACTGCCGGCACATTTTCTGTTATTATTTCTCTATATATTATATTTCTTATACATTATATTATTTCAAACTACTAAAATGTCAATAAATGCTCTTTGTTAAGCTGTAGAGTTGAATTTGCAGCATCAAAAGTCGACATATCTGAGATCAACATCCCATAATGCAATTCACAACCACAAATAAATAGAAAACACTTGTGAATCATCAAACACGCAA